TGGGGTGTGGGTACAAAAGTATACATTTTGGTACGAGCGGCGATGACAAACCAAGTTATAGTTACCGGCATCGGATAATTACTTTGTCAATATCGATAATGTCACGCTTTCACGAGTAAAATAACGCAATTACCCCCAGCCCTACTTTGGGCTTTTCAAACTTGGAAAAAGGATTGAAACGAAAGCTCTCCAACTGCTGTATTTTTACGGTAAGGGCTCGTTGCCCTGCGCGCGAATCGAGTTTCTCTCGGTGTATATACAGTTGGTCGGCGAAACGATTGAATCTCGCGGGAGGACGTGCCCCGGTGCAAAACAACACGAAAAATCCATTGGAAATTTTTCCGACCGAGTGCATTTCGGTTCGCGATGGGATGGTTAACAAAAGGGGGGGTGGAGGGAATAATGTAAGCAACGATAACAAAAAAAAAACGTGACGGCTGTTACAGGTATATTGGCGGGTCGAGTTCCGAAACTGTCTGACGGGAGCTGCATGCCACCGCGAAATTTAATCAACAGTTCGAGCCTCCCTCTATGTAGGTATAGTGGGGTACAGGTATCCATTTATATATTATGTACGTGTCGCGCTTTCGAGCGAATCAGGGCAGCGAGGAGGAGCCAATAGAACAATTTTCGGAATTGAACTCCATGTACCAACGCGGTGTGTGCAAGTTGCTGGCAATTCCAAAGATACTTTAGCGGAGCAGTGTACAACTGCGCCGAATTTCTCTCCCGCCCGCGTGTGTACAAACAAGCAAGAGCCCACGGGGAGGGCGCGCAATGGCAATAATTTTCATTAAATCAAGCACCACACCGCGCGTGTACCTACCTCTACGGTCCACCGCACCCGCGTGTTTCGAGAATTTCCCAGCAATAGGTGTCCTGTCTCCCGCGGGCGGGGGTAAAACTAAGTGTTTGTCGCAACTTACTACCTGCACACGGCAGAGTGTATAACGCAGTTGCAAAGAACCGCACGCGCGCCGCGACCGACTTGAAAGTTAGGCGAGTGAGCTTGTACATTGGGAAATACTACTTATAATAGCGCACTTTAACGGTATTTAATTAACTGGAGGGTGGAATTTTTTTGTATGTACAAATTTTTCATGCTCAAGCGACTTTGAATGAAAATTCAGGTATACCCATAAAGAGACAAAAGACGGGAAAAAAAGAACGAGTATAGGTACTGGTTTGCTGAATGCTTTCATTGCTAAAGGTTAAAGGGTGTGGGGCTTATAATATGGTACTCGTTAACAGCTGGATGTCTTTCAGCTCTCGAGCGCCAGAGGAGGGGATCGAGTGCACGCGGGACACTTGTCAGTGCCTCCTATATATATATACGTTACGTATAATATGCTCTCGAAGCACCGGGTGGAGGGGCTGTTTGCACCGAGTATAATACTGCAACGATCGAGTGGACCGAGTGCAAACCGCTTACGTCTTCTTCCTCTCCCTATATACTCCCTCTCGTCTACTGTGTTATGACTGATGTTGCAGTTGGAAAACGCCAACGAGATGTAGATGAAACATCGTTGCGGTTGCAGAAAGTGTAATTTTTTTAGAGAAATGTGCAAAATTCCCTTGATGGATGTGTAAACGTATAATGTACCCCGTGCTCGAAAACGAGATGGCGCGAGGAAACGAATTGCGTAATACGTATAACGAACGGACGAGCAAACGAACGAGGGACCGACAGAACGAATGTCTAGAAAACTCGGTAGAATCGGATTACCATTGGATTGGAGCTTGCGGTTAAATGGAGATGGAAAAACGACGAGGAGGCAGCGGCAAAATGAACGGGCGAGGGAACAAATGAAACGGGAAATAATAAAGGATGCCCCGAAAAAACAGCGTGGCTCCGACAGCCGGAAGATGAAAAGAGGAGGAGGGACGAGCAAACAAAAAAAAACCTTACCGCACTGGCAATTAAAAATCGGCTGCGATCGATCTTACACGCGTTGCATATAGGTACGTTTTGTATCCAATCTTTTACTTTTGATGCGAACAAACGGAGAAACGCGCGAGGAAGGATCATCGATGATAAATCGCCAGCAATCCCAGCCCAACGATCTCAAGTGTCGCCCTTTCACGCGGGCGCTCATCACCTCTATAGCCATATCCCTTTTCTTCCCATCGGCGCGGTCTTTCGCTTACGTAACCATTGATAAAAATTAAATCGAGTATAAACGATAAATCCACCCTCCTTCCTTGTCCGATCGTTATATAGGTATATACGTTTAGGGAAGGGTGGGCCTTTTATTACTTCGCGCAACTCTCCCGTTGCAGAGGTCTCGTAGCCGGTGCTCCGGGGGGCTCTCGTCCCCGAATTTTCGTCCACTATCGATCCTCTCTCGGTTTTCACCGGCCATCAGCCTCGTTTCTCTCACCTAACGAGCTCCACTCTCGCTTTCGCCCCATCCGATATATATGTATATATATACATCTGCACCCTCTTCCTCCTCTTTCGTGCGAAGGCGTAATCTCTTGAGCCGTCCTCCTCTCTCCCGTTCCCTGTAATTTACTCGGGCCTGTACGCACAGCTTTTCCGTTCGACGCCATCAGCTCTATGCCCGTCGAGCTTCGAAATGCACGGGAATCATATCGTCACCCTGTATATCCACGACGCCAAATTCGATAGCTCCTCGGAGCTGTAGTTTAGACGTGCAGGTACTGGTGCGCGTTATGGATATAGGAAAAATAGCCACCCAATTACCGACACTCGAGTGTCCTCGCTCTTCTTTTTTTAATCAAAAGTAACACAGCGCCCCGAGTGGGAGACAATAAGGCGGAGGGAATCCGGGGGACAAAGGCAGGGTACAGCGGGGAGCGAGTAATCCGGTTCCGAGAGCGACGGTGGAATCGGGCGGATTAAAATTTGAGCGAGATCTCGTCGCTGCTGCCGCGTGGCTTCTGATTTCGTGAAAAAAAAAGAAAAAGAAAAGAATAGAAATCCGCTCTTGTTGCTCCATATCATCCCGGTGTGTAGGAGGATTGTGAGGATTCAGTCACGGGGAAGGGAGGGAGGGAGGATATATACTGGTGGTGGTCTTTGGTGCGTAACTGCGCGCTCCTTATAATTAAATGTTTGCAAAAGCTCTCTCTTTATGCTCGGCTGGACGCTCGAAAGAGAAGCTATTCTTTTAACGAAGGAAACGGGGAAAACGCAATATACCTGCCGACATGTATAAGTACAAGTACTTATTTTTTAGTTAAACGAATAAACTGACGATACGCGTGTACATATAAAAAAAAAGTAGGTATGGATAATATTAAAGAGTTACTCGGTGCAGTAAAAAAGCTCTTTTTGACCAGAGGGTTAAAAATGTCGCGGACGAAGCTGAGCGCATTCTTTTTTTTCCTGCCTCCCTGGAACTGTTGACCGCGCGCTTGAATAATTCACTCCACGGTGATGGCCGCGGGGGAAATCGGATGAGAAGCTTCGATGACTCCACGCCTAATCGGCTCAATAAAAAGGAAAGGAAAAAAAATCCATATACCATGGAGGGAAGAAGCTTTGGGACACGCTATGAGAAATGGAAATAATTCATCGATAAAAGTGTAGGTGTATCACTCGAATCCCCGATGGAGACACGTCTAATAGGTTTATACCGTTTATCGGCATCAGTGAAACGACATCTTCGGTCGTATATATTATCTACTCTTGTATGCTTACTCCCATGTATAACTGTATAGTTATACATCATTCGCGCAGCTCCTCGACTCGAATCTCGCTAATTCCCGATATATACCCAACAGCCACCCTCTCCTACTCGCACCCTTGCCGATGCTCCCTCGACCGATCGCCCCGTATCTCCCTTTTCCCCGTTCGCGCTCGGCTTTTTCACCGTTCGCTAATCCACGCCGCGCGTACACAGCTTGATCCCCCCCCCCCCCGAAGGTTGGGTCGCATTAGAGGCCGAGTAAAACATTAATGCCCTCGTTTCGGCGATTCCGAGCCACTACCCCACCCTTCGATAACAACAACCCCTACATAGATATCGCGTGTATGTATAGCCAGTGATAATCGTCATGGGGCCCGGAAAATCAAGTCGCGTGTCCTCGCTCGGCTGTATGTGGGCACGCGTGCACCCACGACATGATATACAATGTACACGCGTTTTCGGTAACTGCCGCAAGGGGGGTTGGGCGGTGCAAGTCCCGTAGGGACCCTTCTGTACATGAGCGAGCCTTGGGGGGGGGAGTAAACGTTTTGTTCGATTATTTTTCAGCAGGGGGGGGGATTATTTTTCGTGCGGTTCGAGAGAAAAGAATCGCAGATAGCCGAACGGAAATCGGTGCGTGCATGTGCGGACACCATTTTATATACCCCCCGCGCGACGATCGGATGTGCCATTAATCAAGCTCTCGGGGCGGCTAAGCGTGCGCCCGATGAGCTGCGAACGATATCAATCCCCTTTCTGACCTTACACTCGGGGGGGGGGGTCGATGCGCGCAAATGGAGATGACGGCGAGAGGGGGCCCCCCGGCTAATGAACATCTCTCTCGGCAGCCACTGCCGTTGGATAGATAAACAAATAGAGCCCCGAGTATCGCGAGGAGGAGAAAGGAGGAGTAGGCGGAAAGAAAACCTTATCTCGGTGTGCTCTTCAGATTTCGCGTGATTTATTGGGTCGTCTACTCGCTCGAGGGGGATCAAAGTCGTGGGAAAAACAAGGATGTTCTATATTATATATATATGTGAATCTTTGTGTTTTGTAATAATAATTATAATAATGATGATATAAGTCATAACAATGACGATAATGATAATAATGATAAAAGTAATAACGACGACATTGATAATGACAATGATGAAGATAATAATGATAATGATGATGATAATAATAATGATGGCGATGATAATAACGATGATAATGATAATGATGATAAGAATGATGATGAGAATGANGGAAAAACAAGGATGTTCTATATTATATATATATGTGAATCTTTGTGTTTTGTAATAATAATTATAATAATGATGTGTGTTGCATGTGATGTTTCAGGCTGCAACCGAACGGTCAGAAATTCAGTGGGTTGGATCAGGTGGACGGGGAGGATGGGCAGGTGCGTCATTAGAATCAGGACGCCCTTGAAGGACCCTCAGGTAACCATTTTATAATCCCTTATACTTTTCGGTTCAACTGTATAAACTTGGAAGGCGGTGCAGTTTTGAAATTTGGCGCTCGGAGACGAGGCCGCGATTCGGTCGGCGCGTCACGTTCTTGGAAAAGTTTTCGGGGCCTGACACGAGAACAATTTCAATTTGCGCTCGAGAAACTAGTTAGCGTCCTCGTTTCGATCGACGGCGGTCGAATTTCGTAACTTTGATCATCCCCCCGCGGATTCTCGGTGGATCCACAACCCCCCGGACGCGCGCCACGTGGATTCCCAACTCGTTCCCCGATGGAGTATTATTTTCGACCGTCAACTTTTCACGTTGGAGCAAAAGAAAAACAGAAACAAAAAATACGAAAGAGGTGGACGACGCCATTAATTTTGCAGGTGATAGAGATGAGAATCAGGAGAATGCAAGTCGGCGTTTTGAAGAACTCCCGCTGCGTCGGGGCTTACGTGCAGTTTTCCGACGAACTGGAGGACCTCGACGAGAGCACGGGTCGCTACTGCGGACACGTAACCGGCAACGCGACAAGGTGGGTATATACATATACATACACGTACATGTAATAAAAAATAATTGCACCGAGAGCCCCCCCACCCTCCCCGTGACAAAAAGCCTCGCTCAACTTTACGGACGTGATACGCGTATATGCACATACCACCCCGTAACTTTTTCGCCTCGTCGACGAAAACTCAGATGCTTATTTTCTTTATTGCCGTTATTACTATTCATGAACCGTGAGACGCGACGAGCGATCCCTGCACCTTTTTTTCCTCTTCCTCGACCGCTGCAGGTATATTCATGGCCTGTAACTTTTGTTGTTACCTACACGATAATTGTAATGACACGCGGGTCGAGGCTTACATGGAAACGCAGCCACTGGTGTAAAAGCGGGTGTCGTCGAACCAGAGACCTCGACTGAAAGTTGGTGCAATTGTTGTTTTAAAACGCGACGGGGGAGGAAGGGAGTTCCCCTGCGTTTCGTTCAACGGAGGGCAGATAGGCGCAGTCGAACGACTGAATGCGAGATTTCCCCGCCGAGTCGCAAGTTTACTTTGCTCCGGCGGAGCGACGGAGGGATGCAGCGCCGCGCGTAACTTGTACAAATAAAAAGAGTCAAAGGAAAAGAAGAAAAAGCAGGTAGGGGGAGGCGAGGGTAGGCGCGTACTCGTTGCAGAGGGGATGAGCAAGAATGAGCCTGGGGGAGCACGTTCTAAGACGTCGTCCTCGTCTCGCGCGGACACTGCCTCTCTCTGTTATATTGTAACATTGTATTAGCCGACTGTACATGCACATATATACACTCAACTACGTGTATACGAAGAAGAGGGGGTGTTCTGTTTCCTCTGCTTAATTTGGCGCCGTGGGTGTAGGTATGCACCTAATATAAAAGCAAAGCTCTTTCCCACCGCAGGAACGGCATATTGCACGCAGCGTACCGTGTGTGTGGTTTGTATTACCTACATACTTTTTTTGCGTTTATCCGTATACCTACACGACTTTTTAAACAGTCCTCGTTCGTTATGCCAGTGGCGTGTACATGCACGTAGGTACACCGAGATAATAACAGTTTGGCGCTACAGCCTCTTTCATTTCGAGAAAGAACAAAGGCTGCTTTTTTTTCTTTTTTTTTTTTTTTTTTTTTTTTTTTTTCGTATACGCGTTTATAGGTGTATAGTATACATACGTAGGTAGGTGTACGGTTGTTCCCCGGTCTGCACCTTCATTTGGCTCAACGCTGCTGCTGATGTTCCTGTTTTCCGAAACGCGTGTAACCAACAACACCTTATTGTTGCTTGCAGCGCCCGGAGCTTTTTCTTTTCTCTTGCGTCTACTTGGCGCTTCTTAAAATTACTTTCGGCCAAGAGGAGTAGGGCACGCCTTTGTCCGCGTTTTACGTCGAAATACCTACTCGTGAATACATACATACACGTATACCCGCATGTGTCTAGGCGAAAATAAAAGTGTCAAGTGGGCGCGTTACTCTCGCAATTGCAATACCTGTACCTACTGAAAAATAAATGTGTGATTGGTTTTCTCATGGGTACGTGTATATGAATGTATAATGTTTTTTTTTTTTTTTTCTTATATTTTCAAGCAATTCTTCAACGAGTAGTGGTAAATGTACATACGCTCGCGGGGCAAAGGAAATGCGAATTTGCGATACGCGCCGAGGTACTTGTATAGCTCGCCAATGATCCGAAATCGCTCGGGACATACTATACACTGAGAGAGACATACTTATATGCACTATGTTCAACCGAGCGCGAAAATAGATCCCCGGCTCCTCCGAGCGTTGCACGGGTGACGGGCGGCCGATACATATATACATATATAACGCATACACCGGGCCGGAAAATGCGAGCGTCCGCTCTTTCGCGCGGCTCCGTTGTCTCTTTCTCTCCCCGGGGAGTCTACGCGAATTTACATGAAAAACAACAACGTCCGACGCGAGAGAGTCACCTATACACCTGAAATTTCGGATTCGCGTGATTTAGGGGCTCTGGGGCTCTTTGTTTGCCAACCGAATCATCGCTCGCTCGAATAATCAATCCAGCTTTCAATTATACTATCCATTTTCTTTCTTTTATCTTTTTTTTTTTTTTACTTTCCGAATAGTGCTTTTTTTCTTATTCGCTGTACATTTGTACCTAAAAGCTTTTCCATCGGATCGAAAGACATTACCACCAAACAAAGATTTGATTTTTCATGCATCGGGCACTTGGCAGTCATCACGAGTGCATTGTACACACACATGTGGCACAAAAATGAAGTTCCCATAGTCAATCTTTGCTTATATACGTGGATAAATGGATGTACACAGATGCACCGTCACCGAGGCAAAACACCCCGCGGGCTGCAACAACGGCACTGCACAGTATATATTATGTACGTGTATACACCTATAGGTATACAATCCAGCTGGTACAGAACTGTTCTTTTGGCCCCGGGGAGAGCTATACGTGCAGTACACAAGCCGGTGGAGGGTGAGATTCCCCCGTCTTACACCCCGGCCCCTTATTGCGCGTCGTTACGTATATATCGTATAGACGTCATGTACGAGTCCCGTGTCTGGTATGGCTCATTGCTCAACCCTTGAATGGAGACGATCCCCCTTTCTCTCGCTTCCTCGGCTCGCCCTTCCTCTCTCTGCAGCGGTGCGAGTCGATTTGTCGGGGGCCGATTCGTTTCAGGCACGCGCTCCAACACCATACCTCTGTGCTTGCGGTTACGTTGCATGTACAGCTTCACTGCAAGTCACGGTGCTGAACAAACTTTTTTTTGTTTTTGTTTTGGGGGTAGCAACCGAAAAATTATACACAAATATGTACCTTTTCTCACCTTATTGCGGGGTGGTTGTGTGACGTAGGTTGTTCCTCCGCCGAGGGCCCGACCTGACGGTCCTCCTCGACTCGGAGAGCCGCTTCGCCGCGGACAACCCGGTGATATTCTCCGCGCAGTTCTCGATCCTGCCAGCGAGGCTCGTCAACGAGCGCCACTACGTCCAACAGCAGCCCCCGGCCGTGGAAACGGGAGTGGCCATGGCGATGCAGCAGCAACTACTGCCGGCCGAGGCCCTCACCGGGGAGTGCCCCTTCGAGTGCCAGATACGAAACGACCGGCGGACCTGCAAGCTCGTCTCACCCGGCTGGCCCGGGGTGTATCCCCGAGGGATCAGGTGTCGCGTGGCGATGGTAAAATACATTTGGTTTTTTCATTAAAGAGCTGTATAAAAATAATACGTGTACATGCGTATACGATAGGAGTCGAGCGCCGGAAGGTTTCGCCTGGGTGGCAGTCCCGAGGACTTGTACAACCTGATGAACCACACGAGCCAGGAGGCCTGTCGTTCCGAGTTTTGCGAGCAAGAGCACGTCCAGGCGGACCAACAACTCCAGAGCGGTAAGACGAGCCGTGCAACTTACGTCCATGTGCCTGTGTGTGTGTGTGTTTACTTGTATCAGTCGACTCTCGTTGTCCCTTGGATTTGTGTGTAATTGGACGCGCGTCGTAACAGAGGGGCAGGCGATACATTACATACTCTACTTTTGCCCGTGGTGTTTGCTCATACATATATATAAACTCGAGCCTCCTCAACGACGGAGCCTGGCGTGACCATTCAAACGACCCGTTACATCCCCTCCTGTCACCCCCACACAAAATAAATACACATCGCAAAACTATTGTATATTTTCGTGCGCGTTGTGTACATGGGCGCAAGTGCGTGTGATGTACATTTCTTCCTGGGTGACGTCGAGTCGAGTTTGGGAGCCAAGCCGATTATTTGTCTTTGATAGTGGATCCAAGGAGACGCCGGCCCCTCGTCCCCCAAATTCAAAGCAAACATCGTACGAGCCGATAAGTCGCGCGCGCGTTAGATTGAGCCGTCCACTCGCAACAGCCGGAGAGAGACGCGATAATGTGTGTGTGTGTGTAAAGCCATAAAAATAAGAGCCTCGTATCGCAGGAGGAAGAACAATCGAGGCCTGATCCCCGCGGTAAATAACCCCCTCCACGCATTAGGCGGCTTCCTCATAAGCTCCCCCCCCACACACACACACACAAGTAGGTTCATACAAGGTAGTACAGCTAAACTGCTCACTCGACAGCAGACCGGGACGACGAGGACGAGATGATGATCCTCCCCGCGTCCCCGAGGCCGATTAAGAAGCACGAGCGTAAAAGGGCCAAATCGGGCAGGCATCGCGAGGGTCTCCAGCTGTCCTTGGAGATCGAGGCCGATCGGGACGAGCACTCGGCTAGGGGCGATCGCAACCGGGGACTCGACGACGCGCTCTTCTGGTCCAAGAGCAGGTGAGTCATCTATACACCCTTGTCGCTACATGGATACACGGTCGTACATGTGTACACGTTTGGTCGGTAGAGGTGGGAGGCGGGGCCAGCACCACCGGCACAGGCAACACCAGCAGCGGTCGCCGGCACACCACCACCACCGGCGGCTACCGTCTTCCCGCAGCTACCTCGGCAGCATTAGTTGCGTGGGCGATTATTTGGCGCTCCTCGAGAACGTGGACGGTCGGCTACTGGAGATCGGCAAGTTCTGCGGGGAGGGCCGGGTACCGCAGATCATGTCGCGCGGCAGCAACATCGTCGTCGAGTTTCACGCCGAGCGGGACGGCACCATCATGCACGACGGCTTCCACCTGAGCATCCAGGAGTCCGAGGCCCTGCCCACGGCCCTGGCGAGCAGCAGCCTCCAAGCTGGCTCGGTGAGGCTCCCTGGTACATCGGCGACCGGCCGAGGTGGCGAGGTGTTGCAGCAACGGGACGACCAGCCGGGCTGCGACTTTGTCTATCAGTCGTGGGTGCGCTCGCGCGACAGCGTCAAGTCCCTGAGGAGCTGGTACCCGCCGGGTACGCTGTGTAGTTACCGGTTCACCGGCCGGCCCGGGGAGAGGGTGTCCGTTCTCCTGAAGATCGTGCGAGACGAGGAGGCTACCCCGTCGCCGGCGGTCCAGCGGAACTCGAGCAACAGGCGCAGTACCATCAACGAGACGGCCCTCGGTGGTGCCGACCACTGTCCTGGCAACGAGATTGCCGTGTACAACGCCACCCACTCGAACGGCAGCTTCCTCATGTGGTCCTTTTGCGACGCTACCCACACCGACATCAACAATTTGCAGGTATGTATATATATATTTTTCATCACAATTATTTTGGAGTTGAGTATGTTATTTATTTGTCGATCTTCAGGTACCCATCGTGTCTACGGGCAGTGCTCTGTTGGTGCAGTTCTACAGCGCCGCGGGCTCGTACAGTGGCCAGGACTTTACGTACTCGGTAACTTACAAGTTCGTGAAGAGGCCGGCGGCTAACGCGACGAAGCGGCTCATTTCCCTGAGGCCCGTGGACCTTTCCTCGCTGAACCTCGGCGAGACCGACACCTGCAACTGCGACGACTTTGCTGACCGCATCGGGAACTTCAAGAGCTGGTTCATCGTCCTCCTCGTCCTCGGTGTTATTAGCTTCGTCGGAGCCATCATCACGATAATAGCTCTGCTGGTCAAGTGCGCTAAAATACGAGCTGCCGAAAACAAGCTCCTACAGACTCCCAATAGATCGATATACTACAAAGGCTCGACCGACTGAGCTCACCGTTGCGCGTTTTTTTTACAATATAACATGATATACGTACATACATAATTAATATATACCATACGCGCGTGTATATGTAACAGCGACGCGCACTGTTTTTATACATTATAATTTATCACGAGAAACCGAGACTGCGCGATTATATAAGTGAGGAATCAAGTATTGGATGTATAGTTTGTAAGGGACGTGAATTGTCGCTGCGGAAGCACAAAGAGTTCGAGTAAGTTTGGAGATCGATTCAAGTTCATGTGTATATTATGTAATATATCGAATTAGTTTATCATAGGAAATACCGTGTGTCGTGCGCGCTAGAAGTGTTTTTGTCCGAGCATTTTTTTTATTCTTAAGATATTTCATCTGCATATCAGTAATTTGAATTGATGACTCGTAACGGTTTGAATGTGCGAAAAAAAAAAAAAAAAAAAAAACGTTATTTATATATACGATATACATTGTACATTTATGATTTTTAAGATAACTAAAAGAAAACGTGAAGCGTATATACAATACAACAAAAAAACAGCATATCAATAACTTGTATGAAAATTTATAATAATTGTAATGTGTTACCTGAAACTACAATTTTTTTTGCCGATCAAATAATTTGATATAAATTAAGAACGATGATACGTCTTGTACCGATTTACTATATGTACCGCACCGTACCAAAGCTCAAATATACTTTTGAATCTACCAAAAACTGCTTGCTCATTTTTTCACCGATCCTTCAACTAAGTTCAACAAAACACGATCAACGCTTGATTAACTACGATTCTAGAAATTTGATTTATTTATGTTTTTACACATTTACTTTTAAATTTATGACTGACACAAAATGCAAATCTCAACCCAAGATGTCAAATACTGGTTTTTTATTGTTTTATAAAAATTAACTATTGCCTGCTTAAAACAAGCAACAAGTTTGTAAAAGTAGTAAAAAAAGAAGGTTCCACCGAGATTTGAACTCGGATCGCTGGATTCAGAGTCCAGAGTGCTAACCATTACACCATGGAACCGTGGTTAGGGCTGAAGTTCATAACGTTTATAAAGCAGAATTAATTTTTTATTTCGTAATTTTTACATATTATATTATACAATAAATTTTTTCAATATCAATTAAAAAAATAATAAACTTGTTCTAATATTAACTACATAATTTAATGAACTGTATGGCTATTGGTAAGTGATATCGACTATCGGCATTTGTTATTAACAAACGATACAATTAAATGTACCAGATGATGGTACAAGAAAGTGAAACAGAGATCGTCTACTGTGGCAGTCGATAAAACAAACCCTTAACCTATACACGCGCAAGTTATATTAGTGTTTGTGTAGAAGAAAAAACAATAAATTGATTTCCACGTTAACGTGGTATATTATTAGTCAAACTGATAAAAACTTTTTTATCACATAAGGCAACTCATCAATCAAATATTAATTATCAATTTTTCGTAATTATCAAGAAAACGATGAAAACTTTTTTTTAAATCTCATTAAGCCCCACCCCCTTCCCGCGCCACAGGGCAATCTCATTCCGCTGCGAGGTAAGGGGAATAGGTATCCAAGTGAAAAATCGAGCGCGTGTCAAAAACACGAATATTTCTCCCCAAAGTAACACCAATACCAGCCGTGTATATATCGAAATGTTCGCAATATTCGTATAATCATTATTATAAGTACCGTATAAATACCGAAAGACTTACTTATCCATATCGTACGGTCAAGCCACTGATCTCTGGTCAAGCGACTGAACAACAGCATCGACAATTCCGCGGATTCACGGGACCAGAAAAGTTGCAGCCCGGGACCTGGGGAGTAAAACATCAACGAGGCTAGGATGGCGCGAGTCGTGGCTATCAAGGAGACCCTGGAGCAAGCGCTGAAGGATGAGAGCAAGCCCTGGACGCGTTACCTCGCCCTTGCCGAAAAAAAATCCGGCCTCGACAGGCTCTACATATTCGTAGGTAAGCCAAAAATCTGCGAACTTTAACTTGCGAATATAGAGTTTGGAGCTGAGTCCTTCTGCCGTTGTCGTGTCTCTTATTTTTTCTCTTGGCTTCGCTCAATTCGTTATCTGTACCTCGCAATAGGTGTACAGAGCTATCGCTTAATAATGCTCCGTTAGCCCGGGATTTTGCTTTGCAGGTTATAAGTGCTCGCGTCCTGGATCTTCGCGGCCTTCGCGTGGACATTGCAAGCCATGGCTTCCTTTTTTTTTTCCTGCTGTGTTTTGCGCTGATTTACGTAATCTTGTATATATAAGTACGCGAGACCTGCTAGCTACATGTTTTTTTTTTTTTTTTTTTTTTTTTTTTTTTTTTTTTTTTTTTTTTTTTTTNTTGTTTTGCACGAGTTTGCAGAGCGGATCCAAGCCCCCAGCCTCGCGGACCATGTCCCGAGTGACCTTGTTCACCGCGCACTTGCGAATCGCCAGAGCGCAGTTCTCCTTGAGCTTGAAATTCTCGTTCTCTTGTATATATAAGTACGCGAGACCTGCTAGCTACATGTTTTTTTTTTTTTTTTTTTTTTGGAGCAATACGTCGTTTAACCATCTGTTGTGTTGATGGAGACCAATACGATTGCCTTTAAATTACGATTCAACTTTTCTTACGTTCAAATTAGCATAAAGTATATATGCTTATTAAAAAGTAATCAATGTATGCTACCAGAATAACATCACTCGTTGACTGTGCTTTTATCCATGACATTTGACATGGCGAGTCATGATAACAAATTATGCGTAATTGGCATTTATAAATGATTTTTCAGCTTTCTTCCATTAATCAAAGATGATTTAATTTACTTTTCATGTACAACTTACATTCATGTGCAAAAATAATCAGATCAAGTAGATATAAGTATAATGCATATGTAAATTCTGTTTTTAGCATCAGTCTTATTCTTGGCCCTCTACCTAGTCATTGGCATAGGACAGCAGCTTGTTTCAAATGTAATTGGATTCTTGTATCCAGCTTACTGTTCTATGAAAGCCATCGAAACAAAAGAAAAAGACGATGACACAAAGTGGCTGACATACTGGGTAGTATTTGCATTCTTTACTATAGTCGAGACCTTCTCCGACTATATTATTGGCTGGTTCCCAGTATATTGGCTTGCTAAGGTACGATAAAACTCTATTAACTTATAATATACATCTTATTGTTATAATATAATTTTAATGAGTAATCAATTTTTCGCGAAATTTTTTAGTTAAATCTTAAACTGTATTTTTTTTTTTTCATCATTGCAGTGTCTTTTCTACATTTGGCTGATGATTCCTACAGAGTATAACGGCTCTTTAGTCCTCTACCGGCGTATAATTCGTCCAAGATTCCTCCAATATCACACTAGCGTTGATGATATGTTAGCTGAAGCTAAAGGAGCAGGTAAGTTCTAATGTCCAAGCATTGTTGTCTAAATTTTAGTAATTAAACACAGTTGTCTTATAAATATTAATTTGTTTCAGCTCTGAAAGCAGCTGGGGTGGCGAATGCAAAGAAAGATTAAGGTCAGATGACTTTCTAGCATCTTCCAAAAATATTTTCCAAATATTAGAAAATCAAGACTTGCGATAAATTCTTCTCACCCATTCCTTTATTAATTAATGCAATAATGTTTAAAGACGAAAATCCCTAATACAATATTCTCTTATGTGACTCTTCAAAATTTTTAGGTACTTAAAATAGTGCTGTACATAGAAAAATTTACCAATTTTTTTTTTTTTTCGGTTAAAATGTAAAAATTCCCTATTATAAATTTCGTGTCGGACAGTTTGAAACCAATTGTGCAAAGTGCCTGTAATATTATTGATATTTTTAAGTGGATTTTCGATGTTATTAATTTTTATAAGGATTATTGTCTTGTGCCATTTTCAGTTACTATTCGCACGCAAGCGGTTAAGAGTGATTTATTCATGGCAGAGTTTACGAGATAAATGTAAATTCCTTGTTTAAAAAAACATTCAAAAAATGACAAATTTTTTTTTTTATACATAAAACTTATTTTTTCTTGTAAAGTTCCAAACTTGATACACCTCATTGATAAGTTTTTTAAAATTAACGTATAAACATGCATTCTTGAATGCTAGCAAAGAATTTTTCACGGTGCTGGAGTCGCTTCAAATAGTAAATGTTGATTCAGTTTATGAATAAAATTCAAATCTGGCTTGGAATCATTAAAATGAAAGTAAAGAAAGTCTGCAGCACGCATGAAAAAAATCGTGTGATACTCACTTGAAAAATCGATGCATGGTACAAACAAAAAAAATGTATAATATTAACTTATTTTTAAGAAGTACTAAGCAAATTAAAAGGAATATATTTCTTCATTCGCGTGGTTGAGGTAGATGATTTTATGATTAGTGTATATAAAAATATCCATGTGTACACGTATCTGTAAGATTTTTTGCTTCAAAAAGCTGTAATGCAACATATCCATCTGAATTAAAAGAGTTGTTAATATGCACAAACTAGTCCGCAGCCCTTCATTTTTGGATTTATTTTATTACCGTACATTACACGCCTCGAATATTTCCTCATCTTCGATAGTCGGTTTCCGCCAAAGTTGTTCTAAAACCAAATAAAAACCAATAATGTGAAAACATGTACTTTCAATAATCCATTCGTATAAAATACTGTACATCTCTTTGTGATGGAATTTTTCCGCTGTCAGGGCAAGCTTGCGAATGTGTCGTATCGTGGTCGCAGCTGCTATTTGAACTTCCGGATCCTCTGAGCCAACCAACCGAAGTACGTGCTGAGACAAGATAACTCATTTTAATGGTACATCCACTATATAGGTGTCCGAATGACATAGTAAAAAGTATACCTTGACAACGCCACAAGTATGCATGGTAATGCAATTGTAAGGCTCCTTGCTCAAGTGGTAAAACGCGATGCAGACTCCCTTCAGGACCTCTTTGTCCGTGCTCGTAAAGTAATTGACCAGAGGAGCGACCGCGTTGAGCCTGCCAAACTCGTAATTGTTCTGACCCCACTCGCAACAGAAGGCTATGGCGAGAGTCAGATTTGCCCTGAGTTTGTCGTCCTCCTAAAATACCACGTGGGAAAATATAAATACACTCAAAGGCAAAAGTTTGAGCGCAAAAGAGACGGCAACCGTGTTGACGAGGTTGGCGAGCTTCCGGACGACCCCGTGGTCCGTGAGAATACCGAGATTCTCGGGGTCAGTGGCGATCTCGGCGATGGTCGCGCAAACGGCGCTGAGCACCTGGTTGTCCTCGCTCTCGAGAAGACTGACGGTGAGGTCGAGGCCACCGACGAACGCGCGTACCATCTCCGGGGAGTTCTTGGCCCGGCGGATGCAGGGCACCAGGGCAAAACAGGCGTTCCGCTTAATGCGATCGCTCGAGTGCTTCAGCAGCGACCAGACCAGCCGCACCCCGTCCAATTTGTGCTCCTGGTCGTTTATCACGTCCATGCACGCCTCGTTCTCCGCGCACTGCTCGATCACGAGCGGTATGTTCTCCAGCAGGGGCTCGTACGTGGCGCTCAATAATGTTATCTGAGAATCGTACGGTTCAGTATACATATATATTATATTGTACACACTCAGGCAATCGTATATCAAAGACCGCGCGTGTGTTTACCAGCTTGGGAAGTCCCTCATGAGCCCTGAGGACGTCCCTGTTGGTGGGGTCCTTGCAGCACTCGGCCAAGGCGCCGACCACGTTGGCAAGGACATTCTGGTCCTCGTTTTCGTCGAGCAAGGAAACAAGCACCGCGACCAAGTTGTTCTGATTGAACCTGCCCACGTTTTCCGGGCTCATCGCGCACTTCCAGATCGCCCCCGTTATGGCCGCCATCAATTTTTTGTTCCTGTAAACCTGCAACACTCGACAAACTTGTACAACTTTCCTTCAATTTCACATCGGTATTGCAGATAACAATGAAAAAAAAAAAAAAAAAAGGAACAAGGACCTCGTTGTTTTGCACGAGTTTGCAGAGCGGATCCAAGCCCCCAGCCTCGCGGACCATGTCCCGAGTGACCTTGTTCACCGCGCACTTGCGAATCGCCAGAGCGCAGTTCTCCTTGAGCTTGAAATTCTCGTTCTCGAGGTGCTGCACCACGTCTATGATGATGTCCATTCTCTCGTAGGCCAGCCTAAAGACTTTCTGCAAATTTCACGGCGCTCGATTTTATTCAACAAGGCAAAAAACATAAAAGTAAGGGCCCACCAGATCGGCACATTGCTGGACGGCGCCCATCAGCGGCACTATCAGATCGGTGCAGCGGGACTTGAGGAACCGGGCGATGAGGAACATGACCCCGTGCTTCCGCAGCTCCTCCTGGATCTTCGGGCTACTGCTCAGCGAGTTCAGAAGCTTGGCGCAACCTATGGCCACGGCCAGCTGCTCCCGCTCCACGTCGTCGAGATCCTTCGCCGGGCGCAGCACCACCGCGTCGGGCACGTCCATTATGTCGAGCTGTGCATTTTTACCCCAGACAAATTTTCTCGTAAGATCAATCCGATCGGTGCGATGGCGAGGGGCAAACAATGAGGTGTGCGTACGATGAGGGGCACGCCACCGCGGACGCGGATCTGTTTCCTGGCCTTCCTGAGGAGCGCGATGCTAGCCATGGTCTCGACGGTGAGAACCTGGATGTCCCGGGCGGGGTGCTTGAGCAGCTTGATCAGCGGAGCCACGACCCCGAGGTCGACGAGGTGGCGGCGGGTGTCGGGGGCCGACGAGACCTGCAGAAGAACGGCCAGCGAGCCGTGCTGGCACTTCATCTCCCGTGTCTCCAGCAGATTCACCAGCACCTCCAGCCCGCCCATCTCGTGGATGGCCCGCTGGATCACCTATGCGCGCCGTTTTTTTTTATACCCCTTTTTCTTTGCGTTGAAAATCTATGTGATCGGTCCTACCCTGCTGGAGAGCTCGTAGTCCTTGAGGAGGCAGAGGGCGACCGTGGTAGCCGTCTGGTTGCCAGCCTTCATGTACTTGATGAGCTTCTGCATGTGCCAGTACTCGGCGGGCACCTCGGAGCTCAGCTCGTCCTTGACGATGCGACTCTCGTCCTCGCTCTCGGAGGTCGGCTCGTCGTCGGAGCTGGCCTCCTCGGGTGCCTCGCTGATCTGGCAGACCCGGGGCCCGAACGGCTCCCCGGTGACCAGTGAGATCTGCGTTGGTGGCCCGGCCGCCGTCGAGACCGAGTCCGACGACTTTTTCCTGGTGTCCGCTTCCGACCTGCCCGAATTGAAAGGTTATCCGATGGGCTTGTCTCTACTCGCGAGTACCATACTTACGAGTTTATCGACGGGGCGTCTTTTTTCTTGCTCTTTGGGGGCATTTTTCGTCGTATACGTGGGCTTCTGCCGATCGAGGAGGCTTACCGGACCAGTTTATAATATTCTGATTAGTGGATTTTCAACGACATTTATTCTGCTGTTTCCAGCGGTTGGCTGCAACTCGAGGAAAGAGGCACGCTATCGATTTAACAATCGGCCAGGTGATTGCGAGCACCCCACGCCGTCGCGACAACTATATGGCAAAACAAAAAAATCCATCTAGTTTTTGCATTCAGTTATCTCACTGTTATTTTGGGAAAATTGTATCAAGGTTACACGGCTTTTGAATATATTATACTCGTATAGCTTAGTGTGCCAAGAAAAAAAAAAAAAAAAAAAAAGAAAAAAAAAATCGGATTTGGATTATATGAATGAGTTTCGATTTTTCTGCTACGCGGTAAAGGGTGAAAAAATTGAATTTGATATGTAACGTATGATAATAAAGTTTAAAAAAAACTAAAGTGAAGAGAGGGGCGAGAGGTGTCGTTGAATGAAAGCACAATGAAATATCATCATGATAATCGTATATTATCACCTTAACGCAATTACATTATTCTATTTTAATGAGATTTTCGCATACAAAGTACTTTTGCACCCTTATCTTACAGCGAGTATGCCGCAAAACATAATAAAATATCATCAAGTCAGACGTAATTGTAATAATAATAATGACAATAATAATAATAATAATAATAATAAGTATACATGTACGTATATAGTTAACATGTCAATTGCAACATGCCGATAAAGTGTAAATTTAAAATCTCTCGTGTCACATATAGTACGCCTCTTTCGAATTCCAAGTATACAAGTGCGCTTCGATGACCCTTCAAGCTTATATAAATTTCCATTCGATCCATATATAGTCAACTGAGAATTTCGACGAAACTAATTGTTAGGAACTTTTTTTTTTTTTTTTTTTTTGCACTGAGATACGTCTCTTCGACAAGCAGGTACATTTTGCAACTTTACATTATTCTTAATTGTAACTATTTACGGACACAAAGTTTTTTTTTTTTTTTTTTACACTTTTCAAGTGATCGTCGAGTCAAATCACGAATCTAATTTGTCAATTAGGTATAAATCGAGCACGCAAAAGACAAAAGAATTAATAATGATGATATAACATCAAAAAACAAATAAATGTAACAGAAAATGCGCTCTTATACTTAATAATAATCATCGATGCCACATTTCGAAAATAGATGAGTACACATGGGTAACGAGTAAAATTCATCAATTTGTTTCGTCCAACAATTAAAAATTTCGCACAATCTTTGTGTTTAACACAAAGTAATTATTTGACGGACAGTGAAAACACGAACATTATAATAATAATAATCATCGAGTAAAAGTTAAAATGTACGCAAAAAAGTTTTCCCTCCTTTTTCACACCTTTTCATCTTCTTCTTTCTTTTCATTCAAATCAAGATAGACCACCGCGATTGTCCAGTTAAATTTCTAATAAACTCTATCAACAGACTAAGCGATATTTGATATCCTCCATTAGGGAAATAAACTTTACTTCACAATTCGAGTTTAAAACTCTGTAAGTATCGTTAAAAAAATATAGATTATGATTCAACAGCGTAAATCTTGTGTACAAAGACTGACTAATTGATCCAGTACCAAGATTAGTTGTATTTTGCTAACGAGAAAAACAAGGGGATTAGGTAAATGAAGCTTTTTACCGTCTATTGAAAAAGAAGCAAAGATCGCCATGTGTGCAGATCAAAGTTCCTTTTTAAGAAACTATTTCCTATAGATACGCTTTGCTTTATTTTTATGAACAGACCAAGTGCAGTGATGCCGAAGCAAATCAACTAATATAACTTTCGGTCAGCTATATTAAATACTATTTTTACAGCCATAATTTTTTTTTTTTTTTTTCTTTCTTTCTTTTTTCATAATATCACCTTTATAGATGAAAAAAATGGTTGCTGTTGAAAATAAGTAGTAGTAATATTTGTAATTGGAAGTTCAGTATAATTTTTGCTCTGAAGCGTAAGACCCATTCTAGCGCGTTTCAAGCCTCTTTCGTGTCGACATAATAACGATAGGTTCAACATTTCATTTCAACATCGTGAAAAATAATTTTTAGCTCTACAATATGATACGAAAGAAACAACTAAAACTTTCTAATAAAAACGCAGGCGTTAATTGATTCTTTTTTTTTTTTTTTTTTCTTTCGCATCACGCAAAGTGGATTTTTTTACAAATCTCTCAAGCTTTATTCATCGTTGTTGGGGAAACTATATGTACACATACTTTAAATCTTAAATACATATCATCCGTCAAATTCAATGAGAAAATTTTTTACTTGACGATCGCTTAATACAAGTCTAGAGTAAATTAGAGTCATAAGGAATGCCTAGGTACTAGGTATCTACATCGGTAACGCACATCGAGTGATACAGCCTACTACATGCATACGCAACCGTTGTCCAAGTGTGCTAAAAATCATTTTATGGGAAATTTTATTTTGACTTCATTTTTGATTTTTAAGTTCATGTTGTAGAACATAAATCTCACAATAAACACATTAGTTCATTAGACTGACAAAATAACAATTCGGTGGTTCAAAACAGGAGATTAATACATGAATAGTAATTAAAAACAAAACTGTGTTTCATGCATATCAACTTTAAAATCCTTAAATTGATTAGTTTAAGTTTTTTACTCTACAATAATCTTTGTGGTATTTGCTGTGTAATTGAATAAGAAACAACGAAAAATTTGGCAATCATTTTTCAGTCTTCATTCAGTCTTAATTTTTATACAGATGTAATAAGAAGTATTTTTTTTTTTTTTTTTTTTTTTTCAAGATGGGACTGAAAAAATATTTGAAGATCAGATCTTCCAAAGTTAAAGAGAATGCACCACTGCTTTGCAAGGCATGTACTCTTTAGTTGCCAATGAAATTTTTTCTCAGTTAAATCAATCACGTTGATGAAATCTAACATAAATGATGAATTTAGAACTTTCATTGGCAATCAAAATCATGAAACCACAACACACGGATTAAATATTATGGAGAAGTAGTCGAGTACAATAAAATTTTGTTTATATGTGTGGTTATTTAGCTATTCTTAAAGTTTTGATGTTTTAGATAATTTTTTGTATTTATTAGTTTTTTTTTTTTTTTTTTTTCACCCAGAAAAAGTTTGGAAGGCTCTTAATAGTGGAGAAAAACGAAAAATCTGTATGCGCACATCATTTGTTTAGCACGTGAATAGTTGATAAAAATTTTAACTGTAACAACAAGTAATCACCCTCAAAAATAAAATCGAACAAGTGTGCTGTATCAACATTCCGAAATTGAGTAAAATCTTTAAATGCGATTTTAGACCGATTCCTTCGTTTTTGAAAAATTTCTTATTTTACATTGCAATTTTTTTTTTTTTTTTTCTTTTCTTTTTTTTTATCTTTGTGGCAAAGTGTACCATTACCAACTCTCATCATCTATCATCGACATTCTATAATACACATATTCTTAATCGAGTTTAGCCCCCTAACGGGATTTTGTTGGAGCAATTTTTCATCGCCTCACATATACACATCATACCATGAAACGTACCTTACAAATTGAAATTTGTAATTAAATATTTATGATACAATTCGCCGACTTGAAATTATTGCAACGAATGTGACGTTGCACGTTTAAAATAGGATGATATGTACCTACGTTAACTCGACGTAAAACATCAATATCAAAGACTACATGTTTAAAAAAAAAAAAAAGTAAAATAATAGGCCAATACCGCTTGCGTAGGACTTTCTGTAAGTCGCCGTCACATTAATTATTTAAATAAATATTCTCGTCGTCGAGAGTTTCGAGTTTCAGATCCGTGCTTCTTTCACCGATCTCTCGCTCGATAAAGTTTATCTCAAAGATTATAGCCGATTTTTTCAATCTTAATTTCACAATTTTTAGGACAAGCATTTTTAGTGACACATACGTGCCTCGAGTAGCCAAAATTATATAGAGTCGGTACTGCTATGCCGCTCATATCATCAATTAAAAAATTCCTCCCCTCTTTCATTCGATACATCAAACATATCCGTCATCACGTTAGGCTCCAACGACGTGTGTACTTTTTGTATGACGCTCGGTATGAAAATATTGCTTTCTCGGATTCGTATAAGGCAATAATGCTTTTCACGGGTTTTGCTCATGATTTTTGTCATCTTCCATCATAATAATAATTATTATTATACATATGTAAAAAAAAAAAAAAAAGAATCAAACCAAATCAGATCACAGCTGCTGAGAAAACGGGAAGATAAATAAAATGAGCATCCGAGCGTTGAAAAACGATGATGAGGGGACTTAAAAGACCACTACTCGGTTGTGGCCGAAATCGACGACGACGAGCCTGCCGTTGGGCGTCAGCGCCATTCCCGAGGGCCTGTCGAGTTCCCCGGCCTGGTGATGGCCAGTCATGCCGATCTGGCCCCTGAAGTCACCGTTGCTCTTGAATACGAGGACCTGGCAGTTCTTGGAATCGGCGACGATGTAATTGCCCTCGTCGTCGACGAGCAGGCCCTGCGGTCTCGAGAAGACTAGGGGCCCATTTTTGTCGCAGAGGTAGTTGAATCCAGCAAACTCGGAGTCGATCCTTATGACTCGGTGGGTGTTGAAGTCCGTTATCACGACTTCTCCGTTGGGATCGAAAGCGACGCCTCGGGGCGAGTCGAAGGCTAATGTAAAAAATTACAAAATTTAATACATTTTGGCTTATTTTTTATTTTTTTTTTTTATCAAAAAAGCAATTGTAAAAAGAAATAACTAACTTTTCCAGGCGACGGGCGTCGACTCGAAGCCAAACTTTCGCAAAAAGGTGCCATTGGCGCTGAACTGTTGGATCCGGTGATTGCGCGTGTCCGTCACGAGAATTTGACATTCGCTGTTCACCGCCACGTCCCATGGGTAATTGAACTGGCCGCACATGCTGCCTTTCTGGCCGAACATGAAGAGGTGCGTGCCCTCCATCGTCAATACCTATGTGCATTTGTTTCAACGACAAATAATTAGTACCAGCTATGGGTATGTCCAAAGTATAGTATTGATATCCAAACACGAACCTGTACTCTGTGGTTGTCCTTGTCGACGACGACGACGCGCTTACGCGCATCCACGACGATCCCAGCTGGCCTGTCGAACTGCCCGGCCCCGGAGCCGTGGGAGCCAAACTGCCGTATGAGCTGGCCCGCGCTCGAGTATATCATTATGCGATTGTTCGACCTGTCGGCAACGATGATGTGGCCCTCGGGGTCGCAGGCGACGCCCCACGGTCGGCAAAAGTTGTCGGTCTCGTCGCTCGTGGTGCCGAGCTCGAGAATCGGACTCGAGATGTTCGTCTCGTCGGGCAACACCGCGTGCACGCTGTTGCGCGATCCAGGCACGACCTCACCCTTGCCCGAAGGTACTAGCGGGGCTCGCAGTCTTATGTGCTCGAGCTGTAACAAAAGCAATCACCCGTTTTGGTACATAAGTACCCGCCTCGAAGGATCTCGTTTCTTTTAGGCACGTGTACTCACCATGTCGTTGTAGAGGGCTCTGCCGTCCCGGTGTTCACCCACGGCGCCCGGAGACTTTGTGCCGATTGTGCCTATGTTCATGAGCTGCTTGAGCAGCTGAGCGTTGTCAGACGGGTTGAACACTATCCAGCAGTCCCCGGGTTTTTCCACGTAGCTGAGCACGGTCTGCCGTATCTGGTACAGCTGGAACGATGAAATGTTGGATTAACCATACACGTTGTGGATCTCTCATTCGCAGGTGTGTCGAGATTATCACTGATAATCGGGCTTACCTGGGCCAAAGCGACGTCCTGTTTCTGAACCAGAGTCATAGGATTGGTACTGTTGGAGACGCTCTTGACCACCTGAGCGAGGCTCGCCGCCGTGCAGTGCAAACGGCTCGAGTAGCCCTTCAGTGAGACGCACTGCGATTTAAGGGACTCGGTCTTGGCCTTGTGAGCCTCCTCGATCCTGGTGAGCAGTTCTCTTTCTTGCGCCTGGATCATGTCGACGATCAGCTTGACGTGACTGGTGACCGCCTTGCGCGCGTTTTCCCGCTGCTTGTCGAGAGCCGTGATTGTCGCCTGAGAAAGATGATTCGTGAAAAAAAAAAAAAAAAAATAGGGAACCATGTAAAGTAAATGATTAAAGTGGAGGTAGCGAGAATTACATTCAAGTTGTCCTCGCGGGCCAAAAGGTAATTTTTGGTCTCCAAGCAGGTGGTCGCGATCTCAGTGCACCGCTGAGTGTTCTGCTCGATCGCCTCGCAGAGGAACTTGAACTGATGGGAGGCGTGGCGCTCGTAGATGCAGCAGCTGCAGATCATCTGGCTACAGGTGTCGCAAAAGTGACTGACGGTCTCGCGGTGTTTCTCGCACAGCGGCGACCTGCCGGCGCTCATGTACTCGTTGCTGGTCGTGCCGAACGCCGAAGACACGCTATTCGAGACGGCAGTGGCTGGCTCGCTTATCCTCAGGCTGCCCCAGATATTGTCCATGAATATCTCGCTCGGGCTGGCTATCCTCGGGGGACTGCTGCCACGGCTACAGTAGTTCCAGTGCCTGTTTGCCGGCGGGACCGGACTTTTGGACCGGCTCTGCTGCTGCTGCTGCTGCTGGTGATGCGCGAACGCCGACACCCTCTGATCGTAGCTCTGTCTTGTCTTTTTGGAAAAAAAAGTAGCCATGATTATTAGCATACAGTGGCAGCGATTGCATACAAAACTTACCATTTGACCGAGCCCGTATGAGTTTTTGTTGTTGTTGTCGTTGTCTCTGTTGTTGTTGTTGTTGTTGTGCCTAAAGTGGCTGCCACCCATGAAATCGCCCATGTCGCTGTTGTCGCTGTCGCTGAAGGCATTGAGATTGTTCACGTTTATCAGAGGCGGACTGAGACTGGCGTCGCTGCCAAAGTCGGCGTTGCCGTCTAGTATGGAGTTTAAGATCGCGCTGTAGTCTATGAAGTCGGGCGAGCCGTTGTGGCCGTGCAAATCGGGACTGGTGCCCGTCGACGAGGCGCAGTGCAGCGAGTTCATGCTCGTGCCGTTCAAGTATCTACTGACTCCTCCCCTCGAGTAGTACCGGGGCGAAGGGCTTATCAGCTGCAACGAAAAGATCATCCGGGGCTTTAGCCGTTAGGTCTTATCGAAGGAAATTAAAAATGTATTTGCGTGGTAAAAAAAAAAAAATTGTTACCCTCGGGGAACAGCTCTTTTCGTAATTCATGGTTCGACGAGTGAATCGTCCTGCGTTGGCAAATTTACACCCCCAGCTTCGTGTCAATGTGCGATTTGGGATCGCCTGTTGTTGTTGTTGTTGTTGTTGTTGTTGTTGTTTTTGTTGTTGTTGATGTTTCGTCGATCTGCAAGCACGTAAGAAGGACATAAAATTCAAATGCGTTTCCGGCTCATTGTTTTCGACGCGGATGACGAAAAACACATTTTTCCGCAGCCATCTGTTATACACCGGAGCCGCGTCGGCCCGTACGAGTTTTCCCTCTCTGCGGGCCCATTTATGGCTCTCCCTCTCTGCAATAATGCGCGAGACCATGGCAGAGAGTGGATGGGGCTTATATAGCCGTTTTTCCGAGAAACGACGGGGCCCGCCCGCGAGGAGCCCAAAAGACGCGCATGCGTTCATGCACTGCAGCCGTGTGTGCGCGCGTTGTATTATACCTATACTCGTAAAAGCACGAGCAAAGGGGTTGACGAAGAAAAGTCATTTGCAGATGATTGCATGGAGAAAGACGTATTTTTTGTCATTCAGAGTCGAGTTGGAAACTCAAACTTAAGTATACACTTGGACGAAAAAGAATTCCTTCTCTTGTTATTTGACAAGATGTTTTTATATAAGCTTAGTATCGACGTGTTTGGGCCTCTGGGCCTCTCTTTTCAATCGACTGTAGTTTTAGATTAAAAATGGCCCAATAAACCCCAAAACGGAGTTATTTTCGCTGTTAGATACTAGAAATAAAAAAAAAAGGTATTGAAATTTTCTTTAAAATTCTATATTTACACATAAATAAACACAAATATCAAAAAGAACTAGTGGATAAAGGTGTGCATTTTATTACACCGAAACCCTATTTTTTAGATCGATTCCAAACAATTCCTCCACTAAAAAGACGGAACGAGAACTTTGTCGATTTGTCGAGATCCCCGCGTGATATTAATCGTTTTTATCATTTTGAAATCAACGGACACTCAGCTAGCTGCGTCTTTAAATTCCTTCGACCGACATCACACTCGCACGTTGTTTTGAAAATCTGTCAATATTATGATTAGGTACTACCGGTCAAACGCAACAAAGTCGAGGGTTTTTCAATAACAGAGTTTACGTTTCAAACATATGAAAAACCGTCAACCGACTAATTTCTCGTCAACCGTTCAACAAAACAACGCGCTAATTCGTTCGGCAGAGGGATACATTATCACGGTATCTATACGTCAACGGACAACACGGTGATGGACGGAGGCGAAAAAAAAAAAAGAAGAAAAAAAAAACGTAACAAGAGCCTCCAACGCTGAGCCGATAGCCTTTATTACCTACAAGTGTACCCGAGGCAAAAAAAAAAAAACCAATAGAAGGCGGTGGTCGAATAGAAGTCGCGTCGAGAAGCAAAAAAAGGAAAAAAGGACGTCGCCGACGCGACGGTAAGCGGGTACAAAACAAGTATATACACAGTAACAAGATGTAGCGGTTGGAGCATTAATATATAAAAAAAAAAAAAAAAGTGGTAAGTATATAGGTATGTACTGACGAATAATGTATACGCAGTATTGAGATAAGAGCAGAGTTTTTGCGCCCGTTGAAACGCTCCATGGGGAGGAACCCGGCATACCTCCGTCTTTGAGTGTAACGAACCGAGGATCGAGCGTATATACATACGTATAGCGTTCGTTTTCACCAGCCAGAGGAGCAGCAAAAGTAAAGGTCGCGGGCGCGCGCACTCGGGGCTTTCGCTTTCGTTTCCGAGGGTAAGTATATACTTACACACACGACGAGTATTATGTGTATACGAGTGTGCGGGGCTGGTTTTACTGCGGCTCTGTTATATTGTCGCCCCGGCGCTCGTCTACCTCTATATATATATACAATACCGCTTTCTCCTCTTTTTTTTTTTTTTTTTTTTTTTTTGGCATGGGGTTTGGCTTAATTACCCCATGGCATACTAATGCACCCCTACGCGTTGTTACCCATCATTTTTCTTTTTTCGGCGCTCGTGCCTTTTTGTTTTCTTGTTTTGTTTTGCCGTTGTTCGACATTATTGGGAAATGAAATTGCTCGCAAGTGTCCCAACGATATGAAAAGTCGAGCGATAAGCCACCTTGGCTGTAACAAACGTATACCCAATGGGCGTGTCTTTCTTTCCACAGCCGTGAAAAACGAAAGCGAAAGCACATTGGCACGTCTCACGCTTTTTGTCTCTCTCGTGTACGGCGTACGTGTAATGTGTAAATATATATACGTACGCGCGTATTACACGTACACCCTCGCCCTCCAGCCACACAATCGATACTCTACTCTCTAGCGCGACTCTGCGCGTGTATGGGTATAATATGTATATGCGCTCATCCACTTGCTTGAGTTTTCCCTCTTTTTGTTTCCACGCCCCCGACCGCCGCAGCCGCGCGCGAATCCATATCACACCCAGCACCGACATCATCTCTGTTTTCCCGTTGTCTCCCGTGTACAATATTTGCGACTCGTCCATCCGAGTCATTTATCTCGTTTCGACTTTGGGCTACCCCCTTTTTACATCGGCCAACTCGTTGTCAACAAGCCAATGGCGCGTGTGTTAGGTATACGCATGTAGGTACACCTTGTATGTGTGCCGATGTCATAGTTGTCACCATCGATTTGAACCAATCGAGTTGGATGTGTACAAACAAATGTTACCTTATCACTGTACCTCACAACTGTCCCGCGTTCGGAGAAAGTCACCGCGTTGGCTAAAAGTTTATTATTTGTATACCCTTTGAATCGCAAGCGACAATTTTCATCGGAGCAAATGCGCACGTTAAACCATCAATTCCCCTGTTCGGGGAGAGCCGGTATCATATGGATTCAAAACTCGTAGATTGCACGTAGAAATGTAAAAGTTGCGTGACGTAAAAAGTATCAACGGTGAGAATAATAATAATAATAATAATATACTCGGTGCCTCGAGCTTTAAATTTTTGACGTTACACATAATATTCGATAGATAGGTATAGTACTTTGAGTACGTGAATCAGCAGTAGATATGACGACTCGAAACGATACGACTACATCAGATAAGGATTCTCGTATGTGTATTTTGTTGTTGACGACTGATATATATATAGGTACAATTTTTGTGATCTATGCTCAAGTGACGTGGATCTCCGACAACTCCTATGTACGTGATAGCTGCCAACGAGTTTAAAATTTAAATACTATACTGTACATCGAGCTCGTGGAAATTTCGAATTAAAAAAATTTCGTAGCTTCAGCCAGTGCCAAATGACAAAAATATACCCAAGTAGGTAAAAACGTGGTAAAGGAAAAAATAGCCAATAACCCCGATAGAAATGTATGGTCTTGTATACGTGCAGGTAAGCCGGTACGTTGATCTGTACTACTTGTTATGTCGCGACACCACGTACTATACGTATATACATGCTGTAGAACGTGCGGCACACTGTACAAACGAGCTAGTGAACTTTAAAGCGATAAGTACAAGAGTGCGAGTCTATATTATTACAAGTACCGGTGTTTGCCAATCGTTCAAGCCAACCGAACCGATGCAATGGATGTGATGGTTAGTACGTCGATGAAACATTAGGTATATACGTGTAATCGTTTGGTACTTACGGTATCTGACTCTGGTGTGTGGTTGGTTGGTAGTCGGGTGCACGATAACGTGTCACCTATGTATATATGTATGTATATTGCAGGTTAACGATGACGGTGTTGCGGGCAGATCGGCGACTCGACGACGCCGATGACAATTGGAGGGGTAGACCCGACGAGAGATGTGCCGTATTATATCGTCAGACCGAGCTGTGACCTGCTCGCTGAAGAGACTCGCACTGAGGCTGCGGCGGCAGATCCTTGGCTTATGGCTCTCGGGTGATGCTCCCTACTCTCGGCGGCCGAGAGAGCGCGCGCCGGCCGAGTATATCACACGGGTGCGGCGCTTCCTCCCCCTCTCGTAGATATCGATACTTACCTATACCTATATACTATATACCCATATATAGGTACCTACCATTCCCAATACAGCCGTAGCCGGCTACCCGAGAGAGAAAGAGAGATATCACCGCGGGTTATTCAAGCTACGCGCTGATGGAAACCGACCAATGAGCGCCGATGGCCACTCGTTCCGTCCCTCTCTCGTACAATATAATGCTATACGTGTGCGTAGTTCACCAGCTCCTCCCCGGCTTTCATTCACTACTACTCTTTCCCTCCCTCCCTCTCTGCCCCCGCTTCCCACCCTCCCTAGATGCCTACACATTGACGTATATTTTTGTGCCGAGTCGCAGCAGCAGCCAGAGGGAGGAATAACGTCCCTCTTGTGTCGCCTACAGGCTCGCGTCTTTATTCTTACTTCATATCCTATACTATTTCGTACTTGTGCCCTCCACAAATAAATACCGATGATGATTGCCATACTTATGCGTTGTCCAAGGGTTTTGTTTTCCGGGCACAGGGCGCCCTATGCTCATATTGCTCATTGCTTATCGATGAGCAAATTTTTTCTGTTCCCATTTGTTTTCTTTCTAAATGCTGTTGATATATAGACAACCTGCAGCAACATGGAGGGTTTTCATGGTTTACACTCGATGCATGCGGAGCTACATTAACTTTCATAGAAATGCGTACATAATATGCGTACGCCGTCATTTTTTTGGATTTGATACGTTTGACAGCACCCACGCACCGGTCAACACGGGCAACATAATCCCCAATAATACTTACACGCGTAAATCATGATTACTCTCAATGATCATCACCGGCGTAAGGACATGTATGTACCTGTACGTAAAAAGTGCCCGGCCACAGAGGTGATGAACAAAAAAAACAACCAAAAAAAAAAAAGGTATAAAATTAGAGGGCAATCGGGGGAACTGTCATTCCGTGCCTCTCCTCCCCAAATGGAAAAGTCAAGAGGAGAGAGAGAAGCTACAGATAATACGCACAACGATAATGCGTATACCTATATGTACACATATAAAGCGTGGCTTTTGTCCCGGTGATGGCGCACGTGCCATTTGGTTTTTTGGTTTTGCGCCGGCCGGGATCTGACGCGCGCCGTTAACCAGCCGCAACGCCAGACCCTACACTCTCATAACTACAGGCAGTAGGTGGTAGTAGTACTTGTATTACCACGCGTAGGTGCGTGTGTATATATATATATAATGCACGTACATGTACGTACAATAGTAAAATGGTGAACCACCCCGGTATAGGTGTGTATGTGTAGTATATCACACCCCCCGGGGAGCAAGCTCCGAGCCAGAACTGTGACGGTATATAACGCGCCTGCGCGTCCGAATCATGAATGGAAGCCGGCTCCGTACGAGTATAGAGGACTTGGCTCGTGCGTAACCGCGACCTTCAACCCTCCGCTCGTACATAGGTATGAGTAAACCTATACACAGTTGCACCGTAAACCCATGTATATATGTACATGCACGAGCAACGGTGGCGCTGTCTGGGCTTTCCCCGTGAGATATGATTGTTTGCCGCGATGGCTGCTCGCGATCTATATACATCATGCGTATATGTATACTTCAACTCTCCCACGACTAAACCCAATCTAATCACCTGTAGCGTACGATATCTCGAGTGCGGTAAGACAAGAGGAAGAAATGAATATATGTACATACGTAAAAGTACATTGTAACCCGGAGGCAGTAGGTAAAAATACCTGTACGCTTGCATAATAGAAAATATGTATAGGTATTAGGGTGGGTATTACGTATACATATATGTATACAATAGACGTAGCGTCGAGCAAACAACACCCGAACCGTGGGCGTCGCAAGCTCTGCCTCCTCTCATTCATCCACACGTAGCTCGTTCGTTCATTCATTCGTTCACATAACACGCGAACATGTACATACGTATGTATAACCCAAAGCTCTGACGTCCGCGGCTCGCTACCGGGTGACGTTATCCACGTATATATCCCTTTGTTGTTGTTATTATTGTACCCTCGTAAGCTAGCCCTCGGTGCGTATAAGTAAACAACTTGAGCTCGTTTGCTTAATTGCATTTTATTTGCTCGGTTATTCTTGAATGTCCCGAGTCCTTGCGTCAACTCGAGAGCCGAGCCCTTTCTTCCACCGTGTGCGTGTATATGTACAATACATAAGGCGCAAGAGCTTTCTACCATCAGCAAACTCGAGCCCTTTGGCTTTGCTATTTTTAGTTAACCACCCCTCGTGTGCGCGTTTTTACACCCAAACCGCTATGTAGTTGCGTTTCGTTGGATTATGAAATCCTATACTGCAAGCACCGCAGTGCCGAAGCTCGTTCATGAAAAATCGTTGCGGTGACGGCCAATTAATTTTACCCGTACATAAGGTCGAGCAAGAAAAATGATGATGAATGCTGAAATTCATTTTTTTTTTTTTTTTTTTTTTTTTTTCCCCAACAAAGTAGACTGCACTTGTTAAATCGGATGTTTTCCCCTTCGCTCTCACAGCGCTGACAAATGAAGTACACTTGCGCCAAAAAGGACGAATCTTGCTCGATTGTAAAATAAAACCAATGCAATACTTATAGTAGGATCGATCGCGCGTTAGCCAAGTGAATGGAAAGAAAAAGCACAAATCCGAGAGTGACGTCCGTTGGATGGGACAGTGTATATATCGGTAGCGCAGCTCAGCTGCACGCGCCCTTGAGGGTGGGCCAATGTCAGGGTTGGGCTCGCGAGCGCCAGCCTCGCCCCTCTCCTTCGGCAGCCCCCACCCCTCGAAGCTTTTCGCCCTTGAACCATCACACGGGCGCGCGCGCGCTATACCTACACACATACGTGTCGCCTGCCTGCGTAAACGCGAATTTCAACCCTCCCCCGTTTGTAATGTACCCACTCCAGCTCGCGATCGATACCGAAGCTCGCTTTTTCTCTTCTTTCACGACTTCACCATATATATGGATACGTACACCTATATATTTATGGCCCCTCCGGCCATTTGGTCCTTTTGTTCTAATCGTCACGTCCCTTTCCGAGGAGCGCACCGTAAAACGCATCCGGTTCAAATACCATCGGATTAACCATCAAATTAGAATTTCTCGTAAGTCGACTATGCGTTGGCCATTATGCACAAACGGTTCGAGCGGCACTGTTCCTTCGAACGAGGAGATAAACATCCCCTTCGAAAAGTTAATCCACAACACGAGAGTTTGCGCACGTGCAGCAATTTATATTTATATGTATTATGGACAATTGCTCTACACCTCGATTTTCCCTATACGTATGTACACGCAGGAAGCATATATTAATATAAACATGAGCCATACCACACGGGAATATCTTTGAACTGCAGGTATATACACGTATTACGGTATAATCCGAAAAAGTGAGAATTTTCAAATTCATATAAGTTGAGGTTGCAACGCACCGTTGAAAACGAAAAAGCTCCGACGTGGGGGGGGGGGATGGGTTGGGGAGAAATTAGCGTGGCGCGAGTTTTCATGAATGAAACCTGCCGGCCGGCCTCTGGTATCTATATGTATTGCCGGGGGGGTAGTAGGCGATACCTACCCATCCTCCCCCTGCGTGCGTGTATATAGATCAAGCGAGGGACAGACGTCACGCGCGGATACATTATATAGAGCGTAACATCTATAACGTGTGCGCGTGGGCAGGGAGGTTTGCTCCCCCCCCCCCCCTCCCAGCCGAAGGAAACGGTTTAATGATCGCTGCGGAAGCGCCGGGAGGGGTGGCTCACCTTGACTTCCACGGCTGAGGTTGTGTGTATATACGCCCACCCCGTCGGTGGCGTTGGTCCCTCCGACTCCCTCTGCTCATTTTTCCGCTGCGTTTTCCACCGTTTTCCGTGTTCTCCACGCGCTGTACCGCCACCCCCACCCCCTTTGCTCCTTAAAAACACTGTACCCTCTTGGATGTGCACACGGATTTGCGTCATTCCGACTTCCGCTTCCTTTGTCCCCCAATAACCCTATTTTTCCCACGTGTAATACTATATGTGTATTATATACCTACTACTTTTCTTCTCTCGCTTGTTCTCGGATTGTTCTTCTCGTGTACTTTTTACACGTAATGCAAGCTGCGGTGGCCAGAACAGCTCGCACGGAGATGAGCTCAATACTTGAAGATAAATTGCGGCTTACTTACATTTAAATATATATATTTATATATGTATATATGTAAGCTGCGACCATCACTACCATACGTATTGTATTGCTTGCCACTTGTGTAAAAACCTACCTCTGCACGATCGAATTTAATCGAGAATCTCCCTTTTTCCGCGCTAATTTTACTCGGAGCCTGCGTCACGTAATTTCTTTCCGTAGCCGGAGCCGGGCGATTACGATCTATTATGCACGATGCCGAGCGAGCTTCGCAACGCGTACATATAAAATCCATTGCTCGAGTAGTACGTTACTTTGACACTGGTAGAAAAAAAAAGAAAAAAAAAAAAAAAAATCATCGAATCAAGTAAAGACGGAAACAGTGATCGAAGCTTCTTTCGAACGAATCTCGCATTGTCTCTCGACTGCGTGTAAATGCGGTCCATAAGAGAGAGGACCCCTATATCGGCATTGTATGCATGCAGTCTCGTTGTAAGATATGGCTTATACATATACGTACTGCTGCCGTCGCGCGAACAACAGACGAGTCCTCTCGTAATATATATATATAACGCTGGCTCTGCGTGGTGAGAGAGAGAGAGAGAGAGGTATATGTGCATTTGCACCGTGGCTGGTGCACCTACGTCATCCCGGTGCTTCCAAGGCGAGGCTCATTCATGAAATACCTCCCCCGGGGATCCCTCGCAACTGCGCAGTTTTTCAAAATACGACCGTAATATTTCCCGTTTCGAGATTTCATGGTTTTAATCCCCGGAAAGTATAACAACTTGTCGGACCGTTCCCCACTTCCATTGAACTCCACGAAGCATACGGTATTGGGAGGGAGTGCAGAGGGGGTGGAATATAATTAACAATCGCTCCCGTTACGGTGCAAAACGCCCACGCGAGGGATTAATTATGATGGCGCTTAAACTCTTGCGCGTCGAAATCTATTATAAAAAAAAAATAAAGAGAAATCGAGCTTCGGGTTCAAAAGCCGGTGTTGTGTAACGAGCACCCATTAATCTCGGAAACAGATTGATGGCACGAAAACAAAAAAAAGAAAATTCGTCCCTCGTGGATGGAGTTGTCATTCTAGTTTGAAGAGCAATGGTGAATGAGTTTGATACAACGCGTGTACAATTATACCATCGCGTTTTCAACCTAAATACGATGAAGCGTTCGTACCTATAATTTAACTCACTACCTAAGTTGTTTCGACACCCAGAGGGGAAAATAAAGAGGGACCCTTTTGGCATGTTTTGCCAATAAAAAGAACATAACACTTGAAACAAACATTTAATTTCCAATAGCACGGTTTTCCAGAGATTCTGTCGTGTATGGACGTGCAAACGAGCGCCCACGGATTCATCCTCCGCCCCCGCGTTTATTCCGCAAATCGTCCCACTCGAGCCAAAGTTCTCATCAACGTCTCTTCTGTATTCCAACAAATGTCTAGTGGTATGGGGCAAAACGGGACAACGAGAATCCACGTTCATCACCGATGAAGCAACCAGATGAGGTAAGACGTACCTTTACTTGAGGGGGTTAGTTATTGCAAAAGGTGAGGGAGAAAAGATGGTCCAGCATTTTGGAGTTGTCGGGTGTCGACTTTGGGGTAATATAGATAGTATGGCCGACCAGAGGTTCGAGGGCGCATGTGCCACCATTATAATATATCTCTATTCGTCCAGGGGGTCGTTACTACAGTTATCGCCTAAGGGAGGGTATAATATTGTTGTACGAGAGGGAGAGAGAAAAAGTGACAGGGGAAGGATAGACGGAGACGGAGAGAGAGAGAGAGAGAGCAACTGCTGTACATGACATCAGCATCAGAGAGAGGCTGCGGAGGGAGCAATATATGTAGGGAGGGGTAAGTAAAAGTACGCACACATACTAGCATGATGGGTCGCAGAGATCAGTCGATGAACGAAAAGCCATCAGCTTCGTCCCCTCCACAGCTCGTGCTTTTCAAGGTCAAGCCAAGAGCGAAGCCACGCGTATAACTATATGTATACGACTCGACTACCGCCACACTCTGCTCCTCTCTGTATAGTATGTAGGTATGTATACTACCTTGACGCCTCCGCAAAGCCGGTGGAACGTGGGCGTTGCTGCTCTGTACGTAGGTATATAGATTTTACGGAGGGTACGTATACAATCAAATCCTCCCCCTCTCATCTCTCCTGCGGTGTCTCTCATTTGCGCTCAACTCATTCAAGGGTGACGCTTATTCATTTTCACGTATACGTGTATAACAATGATGTTTCGAGTATATATTATATTATTATATAAGCCGCGCAAGTAAACCGCCCCGCGTCCAACTAAATCGGGAAAGGTTACGATATCAGTGCCAGGGGTGATGCGAGTTGGATTTTTACTCATCGTTATCAACTATACAATATATACCTGCATCATATAATTTCATTATCCGCGTTACCATACTTTCGGCAAAATCTGAGAGATATACGTTACATATTTATATAGAAGCCGGTTTTTGGGCTTGGGGTTTCACGACGAGATCATTTTGATTTATTTCAACTATGGATTTTATCTACCACAACAATCGTGGCAACTTTGTTGCTTCCCAAATACAATGCGTGCACACAATCCCTCTGTGGGAGAGACAACGGAAGAAGGAATGAAACACGCGAAATTAAAACATAATACGTATGAGTGGTACATTCAATGGAATCCACCGATTTGTGCGAGACTTTGTTCCGATATTTTTTATCCCTCCACCTATGACCCGGTGCGAGGAAATCGTATACGGCTGAAATGTAAACATCAATTCCCTGCTGCGGCGCGCGTCTGTTTGTGATTTTCTTCTCTGATGCAGCGTGCAACGTGATGGCCCCCTACTTCGGTATATATGTGTGTATGCTATTTTCTCTCTCTGCATCGGGGAAATCAATGGGGTTGATCGATTTTCCGAATGGCAGATGGCAAAGGCTGCCGCGACGCCCTGCCTTCGTCGTATATAGGGATACCCATCGGAAGAGTGACGAGGAAATAATGTGTGCCCCTTATGATGGGAACATGCAATGCGGGCCGCGATTGCGTTTTGCAAAATACTCGGTACTTACAGATTTTATCTTATTTATTTATCGCCTCTACCAATTCAAAGTCAAAAGAGTAAATTTAAAAAAAAAAGAAATTATACATTCAATCGGCGTAACAATTGCATGTATTCTAAATGAAATGTATGCCACTTGATTTGAGCGTGAAAAGACGAAATGTTGTTGAAATTTTGTGAAAATATTAGAACGGGGGAAAAGAAAAGCTGTGTAGCGGAAAAAAAAAAAAAAAAAAAAAAAAACGGGCTTAGATTCCCATTACACATTACTAATATGCCCATACGTTACGTTGCTGCGACGGAAAAGACGATTCACAGGTTTTCCCTCTTATTTTTTTTTTTCGGTAAAACCTTTCGCGCGGAACGTGGAAGGCGAGTATATTATGTAGGTATACGTGTGTCGATGTACATACATAGAGGGATTTATTTCGGCAAAAGGCTCCACTATACCTACACATGTATACGCACATAGATATACGTTTTCTCCGCTATGCAGCCTTGCTGCACCTGGCTCGCCGTGTTTTTCTCATTTTCAAGTTCACCTTTTCTTCTCCCTACATATGTGTATATATATATATGTACATGTCCCACCAATACTCTTCCACGTGTGTACATGCATAAACATACACACCCAAACTCGTACGGATTTCGGAGTCGTGTCTTTGAAAGTATCGAAATTACTTTCATTTTGAGAACATGACAATAAATACGATATGTACGTTTATGGGCCAAGTGTCGATCCACACGTCGCCTGTCGATTTTATATAAAAATTATCAGTTTCCAAAGTACGAATGCTCGTGACTTGTATAGACGCAAAGCGAACGCTTTCTCCTCTTTTTTCCGCTGCTTTTCCATCTCTGTTCGCGTCCCTTCCCCTCTCGGGCCTTGTTTTTCCCTTCTTGGAGAACATATATATATACGCGAGAAATAGGTACTTGGATGAATTTCCGCAGGCCCTCGTGACTTGTGACTAATATATATCCAACGGCATTGGTGCACATACACCAATACTGCAGGCATGTACCAATACTTACCAATGATCGAGGCGTTTGTTTTGCTGCACTATGGAAAAAATTCCATGACCAAAACTATATGTATATTACAGATGCGCCTATACTTAGTAAATGACAATGGCTTTTGGGTGCAGTACGAACCGGTTTTCCTGCATTGGCGGATACCTAATTGCCCCAAGTATACACACATACACACACACACACACACACACACAGAGGCATGGAAAATACGTATGCAGTGTGTTTTTGGGCGCAGGGCTTGCAGTTGAATTATTTTATTTTATTTTGATCATTTCAAATGTAACGTATTTTTCCCATCGATTTTTAAATACACCGGCATATACGAGTTTATTGATAACGCGATCGGTATAACACGTCGGATCCTCAAGCTCGTCTACTTCTAACGTAAATCAAGTAGCATATGTTTAATTGCTAAACACGCATTTAGAGCTAAAATTGCTTCAATGCACAAATTTTCTATATAACTATGGAGACGATTTATTTGTACCGTATATACATGAAATGAATTCAAATTTAGACATTTTTTTTCCTCGATTTTTTCGATTGATTTATGCAGTACTGATTGCATGTTTTTCGAAAAAATATCTAAATCGAAACTTCACTTAAGCGATTTACCCCTATGAGTTGGTCCTGAAAACCACCTACCATAAAAAAAAAAAAAAAAAAATCGGCTTTATCTTCGGATTTGTATTTCGTAGTGAATAGAAATATACGCAACTATGTATATATACTTTTATTTGTGATTCGGAGCCAAGTAAGTGTAAAATTCTTTTTCGTGTTTGTGGTATAACAATAACATGATAATTTCATGTGTATTTTCGATAAATGTTAAATCACACGCTTACAGTGTGTTGACTACGTAAACCATATACTTAAGTATATACCAAGCGAATTATTCACATTTGTTGCTTTTATTTAAAATTCTTCTCTAATCAATACTTTTTCTAAGTACACGGTATTTTTGTCGAATTCGTGACAATGAAATAAAATATTTGTCAAACAAAAAATAATTAGCGCTTAAAACTTTAATGTTAAGATATAAAATTTAAACTTTACGTTAACATTTATCAGATGATAAAATAGTATACTTAATAGATTATCGGCATCCAGATAAACGAATATTATTTAAGAAGCTTTTTTTGTTAAAACATCAAAATAGTTGGGTAACTAGCGTCATCTGTGCTCGGTTGAAATGTGCAATCGGTGAAAATCAATAAATTCCTACAATAATGTTTCCTACCGCGCAGTTTACTCGCAATATAATATTCTCGTGATATGATTATAATGATTGTAGAATTAACTACTTATAGAATCTTATCAAAGCTTTATAAAAACTTGCCTGATAGAGGATAATATTTAATAAATATGTTGGTATGCGGTCGCTGATTACACATAAACATAAATCGAACTCATTCAATAAAATTGTTATTGGACAAATTTTTTAAAATCAAAAATAATAGGAGGAACAGGGAAAAACTATATATATTAAAATACGAGTATGGTAAGTTATCGACTTACCTGCGGTTGGTATCTTCGATATTGCCCGGGAAGGTGTCTATACTATCCACTGAAAGTAACTGGTATTTTTGACTGCTTTAATTAATCATCCGATGGCATTGTCGAAATTGTCCTAAAAAACTGGCGGTGCGTGGTTTACGTCCCTACATACTGCACTTTCCACGTCGCGTGCATGTGTCTGTGGTGAAACTGTCGAATATCGGTGGTGTTGTACTAAATCAGTACTAGTACTACCAGTAGTCAGTTGACTTGAAGGCAAACCATGGCTGCAAGTCGTAGAGCCATCAAGGCCATCAACTGGGCTGCTCTGACCGAGCGCATCCACGAGTCCGAAAGGAACACCCTGACCGCCTTCAAGGCCAAATCCGACCTGTACCTACGTCAGTACGTATATTGTCCCTAAAACTCCTCGTATTCGCCTCTGTAGTTACATAATGCGAGCCGACTAACCTTTGATTTTATACTCGTTCTTCGTTTGTCACATTTTGTTACAAGTTTCTACTGTCAACTGCATTTTCTTTCATGGAATAAATGCACAAGTGCTCTTTTGTACATTTGCTTACATCGTCAACTCCAATAGTTTGTCGGCTGCTTCGGTTTACATGGCCTTTAAAGGTATATACAAATGAAGCTCCATGTATAATAACGTGTGTTGTGTTGCAGGCTTCAAGCAAATCCTGAAAATCCGCCTAAAATAGACTGGTCATTTTACAAAAAGAAGATCGCCACTCCTGCATTAGTTGATAAATTTCAGAAAGAATATGAATCGCTGAGTATTCCTTACCCCCAGGATAAATACAGCTCCTTAATCGATGAGCAAGAGAAATTAGGGGTAAGTGATTTCAACATTTTAATTCACATTGAACAGTTTTATACTGTCAACGTTTTAAGTTGCATGTGACGTATAACAATTGAGGATTTTTTAAATGAGACTATCTATATTTAAGAGATATTGACTTTTATGTATGAGTATTGCTTATGGAATTTTATGGGAAACATTTCTCCTTTTACAGCAAGAACATGTAAAAAAGTTTATCAGCGAATCCAATGAACGCATAGAGAAATTCAAGAAGGAACTTGAGCACTTGGGAAGTTTGTTGAAATATGGTGAAATGACTATGGAGGACTTTGCAGAAGCACATCCAGATCTTGCCCTAGATCCAATTAATAGACCAACAATCTTCCCCCATACACCCGACGTGCAACCAGATGCTGAAGATTCAAAAGAAAAATCACATTAAATGTGCTCCATCTTACTGCTATATTTAATGTAGTTATTAAATGTTTCACTGATTGAGTTTTTAATTTAAATCATTGTATAATTTCAAATTGTTCATTTTAAATCAATCTTGTATAATATACAAATTAAGGAGCAGATCTTGAAAAATATATCTGCTTTGTTATAAAAAGTCTCGTTAAATTAATTTTAAAAACTCTTTTAGATGACAATTGAATACAGGATTTGAGATGCAATGAAGCGTTGATATGTATATTCTAATTAATGAAAATAAGTTGATGCATTGTAGAAGAAACAAGTATCAATTGAAAAATAGCATATTTATGGATATAAAATTCATCAATGCCTTCAATGCACATGGTATCCACCATACATACACGTGCATTTTGCACCAACCCGACGCATACAGTCGCAACCACCTACATAAACGTAAACTACCCTTGCTGTGTTGTGTATCGTCCTTCCTATCCCTTATGCATATACATACATGTAATATATACTTGGGGCAACGCAGTGTCGGCTCTAGAAACCAGTTTGGACGAAATTTGCTAAACGAAAAGTTATTTAGATTTTAACCTTACCCTGGAACCAGATAAAATTGGTGATCAAACAACTCTATTGATTTTATATTAATAGTCAGAATTTGTTTGCATTAAAAAATTCCATGTTTGCAACAAACAGTGCGAAAGTGATTCAAAAAATTTTCCGTAGTTTTCCAAATTAATAAAAAACAGGTTAAAATAAGATAACTTAATTGTTTGATAATTCTGCTATGTAAAATAACGCAGAGCTCGTTGCCTCGACTTCCCGAGTTTAAATCCACCGCAAAGGCTGTGGGACATGGGCGCATCAATGAGGCGCACGGCACTGCTTCAGTGTATGTGGGTGTGTACCCACCTACCTACCTATCTATCACCCATATAATATACCTATATCGTGTTGTGCAGAGAGTACGCACGACGGCAGCGTACAAACTGTGCGGACTTGTACCCCGGTTCCCGGCTTGCAATGTGCCCCGGGCTTCGGTCCACCAGTTGTATATAAGTACGCACCAGCACCAGCAGGCACGAACCGCACCGCTATCGCACTGGTGGACGGCGAACGAGGACTCAAACCGGCCGACTTTTATTCGCAAACTCTCCGTCGGAGGGGCGAGGGCTTGTTTTCGCACTTTTCCTAGCAGCTCCAGGTGTGTACGTTGTTGTTAAACCTACCAAGCGGCAGGCAAGCACACACCAGCCCTCTCTCGCAAGCGCGCACGCACTCCCATCCCGGAGGAAGCTCGGATCATCAAGTGGCTCTTATGACATCCGGCAGGGAAAACACCATGGGGTGAGTGCGTTATAACTCCGTGAATGCCTGTTCCGCTCCAAGGCGATATCGCGCTTCCCAGGCTTCCTAGTGCAATTACCTACTTGACCATCCATACTTTGCATGTCCTGTTCCATCCGTGGACTCTAGAGCAGGAACAGCTGTGCCTGGCTCATCTCCTGTGTCGCTTATTCCTCGACACCCTAGATTCTGGAATCAATCCTTGCATGTTGGGAGTGTATTGTTGTCTTACCTCTCTGGTCCGTCCCTCACCATCGAAAAATTAAGTACCTATACTTGACCTCCTTGTCATTATTTTTCGTCTAATGTTATATTGTATATAAGTATTACCGTCGAAAAGACGTTTTTCGGGCCTTGTTTTGCTCCGAAAAAGTTGTCTGCTCCATTATCCCATACACACATTTGCTCATATCAAATGCATGCTAAGTATACACTTGTTTGCTCATTATTTACATGGACCAATTTTGTCAATTGGTATTGATGGAACTGTTTATGGGATCAATTCTATTCAATCTGAATTATTGTTAATTTGCTTACGCAAAATTCTCACTTGTTAAGTATCTCCTCCTCTTACCTCCAGGAAGTAATTATACTATCTGATGGCTGATCCAAACAATTGAAACATTTTTTTATCGCTCGTTTTTCCTGTCATTTTTTTTATAATGCTAATACATGATCAAATTTTTTTTTTTTGACATGTAACACTACAAAATTTTTTTTTTATTTTATCCACTTTTTTCCTGTGATAAAAAAGTATTTGGCAAGTTAAGAAGCTAATAAATTGAAAATCTCAATATTTTATTGTTGAGTTTATTTCAAGGATTAATTTTTGTTTAACCAGGGAACAGCCTATTTTTACGTGCAAGGCACATGTTTTTCATATTGATCCAAAAACTAAACGTTCCTGGGTCTCTGCGTCAACGGCAGCAGTTTCAGTATCATTTTTTTACGATTCAACTCGTAGTCTCTACAGAATAATTTCTGTGGAAGGCAGTAAGGTAATTGACTTTGATTAATTTTGATACAAAAGAATTTAAAAAATTGAAAAATAATAACCAAATCATTAAAATGAAATTTGAATACTTTTAGGCTGTTATAAATAGTACCATCACTCCTCTTATGTCCTTCACCAAAACATCACAAAAGTTTGGCCAATGGTCTGATGTCAGAGCAAATACAGTTTATGGCTTGGGCTTTTCCTCAGAAAACGAATTACAAAAGGTATGTTGGATTATAAAAATATTAATCACACTAACAAAATCAGTTACTAATAGAATGAATATTATTTATAAACAGTTTATTGAAAAATTCAATGAAGTCAAAGAAGCAACAAAATTAGCTAATGCCAAAGCACAGACAAACAGTTCTTCTGTTACTCCCGCGACAAGTGCTAATGTCAGTCCAATCACTTCACGATCAGGAATGCCTTCATCGGAGCAGGATCTTATTGATCCTCCAAACTCAAACATGATAAACTCCAATATTTCCGCTTCAAATAATCCAAATCCCAATGCTAACATGATTTCAGCACAAAATAGCATTTCCTCAATCAGCAGTAGTCCTCTTCCAGGTGCAGGCATGAAAGAAGATGATTATAAAACCATACTTCACTCGAGATCTCAAAGTATTTCGCAACAAAGTACTACAGACAGTCCTCAGCATCAAGGAAAAACCCAACAAATGAATGCTAATGCCACTAGTGGTAACCAAAATAATGAAGCCCAGTTGAAGTATGAAAATGATAGGCTTAAACTAGCACTTGCTCAGAGTTCAGCTAATGCCAAAAAATGGGAGGTATGATGCTCTTATCAAATTATATTTTTCTGTTACCTTTGTTAATATTATTAAAAATAAGGTACTTGAGTAGTGATTTCCATAAAATATATTTTATAGATTGAATTGACAACTTTGAAAACCAATAATGCTAGATTGACAAGTGCACTTCAAGAATCTACAGCAAATGTTGACGAATGGAAGAGACAACTTCAACTTTATAAAGAAGAAAATGCTAGGATAAAAGCAAAGTATGCTGACTTGGAGGCAGGAAAAATTGCGGAGGGAAACTGTGAAGCCTTAAGGTTGAGAGTGGAAGCTCTTGAAAATGAATTAAGAACGAGAAATGAAGAAATCAAAGCTTTCACAATAGCATCGAAAAATAAAGACTTTGCGGTAATAATACAGAACTGCTTTATTAAAAGAATCGAGATTTACAAAAAATTATATCTTGATATCCGTAATTTTAGGTTTTACAAAAAGAAAATTCCGATCTCCGGGAAATGTTAAACGTTGTTCACGAACAATTAGAAATATCGATGAGCACTAACAAAGTACAGAAGCAAAACTTGGAGACGTTAAATTCACGACTGGCAGGATACATACAAGATTTGGTTACGGTGCATCGAGAAATCACCAACACATTGCAAACTTAAGAAAGCCTTAGGTAAATGTATACAACTCTTACCAGTTAAACATACTGCACAAGTTTAAAGCGCGATAGCCATTCGTGTGAGACAAATCATGTTTAAGAATACCTATTGTTGTTATACTTGAAAAACTCTTACATGCAGCTGCCATACATTTTTTATATTATTTTACAAGTCATTAATACTACCTAGATCCTTAAGTTTTTTAAGTGTAAATTGATACAATTACATAGAGGATCTCTTATTTTATGTCATTGACTTTCATAAAAAATGCGATTTTATTTTTATTTTTAAGGATTTTACATGCTCGGTTGTTTTCAATCCCCGTTTCAACTTACTAAAAAATTTAAACATATCACGCGCGTTATTTTTATAAAGCAAAAAGCATCAGTAGGTATTTTTTGGTCTTTGTACGTTTTAATTTATTTCCAAAGTGCAACAATTGCAAAAAACTAAAAGTATTAAATGATGAAACAAAATAAAAATTTTATTTATGCAATTTATTTTCATTGATACAAAAATTACACTTTTACAATTTTATTACATTTATATTATACAAATAAATAAATTTTGATAATTTTTTATACACCACAACATGTAGTGCGGATAGATTTATGCTGTTACAACTATCTACATTATTTGTCTCTCACAAATCACGAAACATAATTATTATGAGCAACAGCCAACTTGGTTACATAATTAAATAAGCTCTAAAGATAATTTATGCCAACACGATAGCCAAAATTTTCATAAGTTGATGAAAAATATTTATTTAAAAAAAAAACTCAAGGATTACTATAAGTGTAACCAGACTGAATATCATTGCAATATTATTAAATTTTTTTTCAACCCTTTACTCTGTCGTACATAGGTATAATCGAATGAACAATAAATAAAACTTGCATAAGTCATGAAGAAAATTATGAGGTGCAAAAAAACTATGACTGCAGGGCAAGGTCTCATTAAAATGCCATATATATTATAACTATAATTTTACGTCACCCTTTGGTTCTGCAACCTATTATTTCAATATTCAAAGTAGAGGCAACAATGCTATATTAATGTTGCTTAGACTGAACTATTAACGAAAATTACGTTAATTGTTATAAGTATTCAATGATATCAAATGTTTCATAGAATTTTAAGAAAATAATGTGTTGAAATCTTAGAAATCTTTTAAATTGTTTCTTCGTGAGAAACACGAAGGTAATGCCGAAAAAAAAAGAAAAAAAAAAAAAAAAAAAAAAAAAAAAAAAAAAAAAAAAAAAAAAAAAAAAAAAAAAAAAAAAAAATGAAAGAAGAAAAAGAGAAATAGTTATGTGCAGTATCAATTTTCTTTATACCGTAATGATTATTTTCTACTATTATTTTTAAATAATTTCTTTGTGCTGTGCTGTAATATCGTTTTGAGTACGTACACATTCACAGAAGTTTTGTTAAGCCATAACAAGTACCGCACCTAATATATGTGTTTTAAAAAAATTGTGTCCGTTAAATAATATGGATAATTACAAATTATGTAGTAAAATTAGAATTAATTATGATTTAAAGGAAAGAATCCATTTGCAAGCATCTTTCCATACATTCTGAGGATGAGCCACAATAAATGAATCAAGTAGAGTGAAATCTTTTACATCTAAGGTAGCTAATTCTATTAACATAAAGCCAAAAATTATCTCTGACTGGACTGGTTCAGCCTCTTTGATCGCATATAACTTACTTATTAACTTTCTTCGATCTCCTTGAGCGACCAGAGATAGCAAGTACTTTATAAATTCTTTATCTATTTTAAATCCACTCTGTAAATTACGACATACAGCCGCTGCATTGCCTGATTTTTCAATATCTTCAACTGAGTCAACACTTGTAATTATTATAATAGCTGCAGATCCATTGTGAAAGTACTCTTTTATTTCATTAATATAATCCCTGAAAATCGCTGCATGATCACTAACAGTTAACTCATGTTCGATTGCTCTGGACGTTTCAGTCGTTAGATCTTGTTCTCCTAGCATAAACTTTCCATTACTCGTTGAAGACCCAGCACTCTGAAGTGATATGGTAGGTAGCTTACTTCCAATACTTTTTAAAGTTGAAGTACTCGCATTTCCAAAATTAGGTCCATCATCATCATCGTCTTCAATATTGTCTTTTGTATTCCATCTCGAATTAGTAGGTAATTTTGAAAATTGTAAAAGCGGTTTTTGTCTCTAAGTTTGGTTTTCATCAGTCACTTGACTCCTAGCCAAGGATATACTATTAAATGCTCCCTTTGGAATGTTCAGCTTAAAATTACATACACTCTCGTCAGGTCTAAATGGACATACTTCCTCAGTCTTGGTAACTCCCGAATCGGCTGTCTTCGGCTGATTGGTTGTGTGCAGTCTAAATATTTTAAGTCTCAAGGCACGTACTAAGTCACAATACATAAATCCAGTGTTCTGTAACGTCAGACGTTTAACAACTTTCGTCCACCCTTGTTTACCGTTCATTTCATTATCTTTAACGTGTATGCTTTCATTAATTATTTTATAACCATGCTGGCTAATGTCATCAACTGTACGCGTAAGTACATTCACGGTTAAATTTGTAATAAAACAAAGACTTGAGTATGTATCAGCATTTGAAAATAATATATTCGCACATTCTATAAAACATACCTTTTTCCCATAAGCGCAATATAATGTGCATAGCTCTAATAAGTGTTTAATCGAAGTATTTCTCATTACTCTAATCGCTCTTTCGTGATTTTTATAATCAATACCAGATTTATTAGTCGTTCTAATGCAGCACATAATTTATTGCTAATATCAATAGCCTTATCTCGTGAGAATTCAAGCGTGTTCATATATTTTAACTCTCTCTCCTACCTTGTTGACTTTTTCCAACTGTGAATATTTTTGCTACTAACATATTCGAAGAATCCACTACTAACTTGACATCATATGTATCATCCTTCGCTGTGACTATTCGCACCTTATATCCACGTACGCGCATGCGCCTCGCTCGCTTCGCTCGCTCGGAAAAAAAAAAAAACTTGGACCCTATAAGTACCGGGCAGTAGAGTTACCCACTGCGCATGCGTATCCACTATATCCACGTTATTACGTTGATATATGGTGCGTTTTGGTGCGAATAGACACTGCGATAATCCTTATAACTTTCATTATTCTTTAAAATTAATTTAACTCGTTCTTGTACATTATAAATAGCCTCTTCAATCTGTAAACTAACTACTTCACCATTATTTCTACCATTTCCCTCATACATTCTTAATTCAAAGATAATAACATCATTCCCAGCTAACTTAAACTCCTGCTTTGACATTTTGGACATCTTTGGTGCGTTTTTAGCTTAAATCAATATGAATAATTTTTATGCTTCAGTAGGTTCCCTCCTATATGATTTCAGATGTAGTCTCGCAAACCTGAGCTATTACGTAGGAACTTTTACTCATAAGTACAAGTTATGATACAGCAATATTATTTTGTGGCAAACGTGGACCTAAATTAATAAAAAAAGAAGTATATGATCTGTGGGTGATTATTACAAAGTTGCTTAATTCTATTCATTCTGTTAATTTACTGTACTCAGTCCAAAATCCAAAATAAATTCAAATTACAAATTCATCATTTTAATTAGTTATACTAAATTTTTTTAAATTGTTAAAACATAATATTAATAGAATTAAAAATGTACTACTTTTAAACAAAACACGGCTTTTTATGCCAAGATGTCAGCGAAATCTTACAATAGTAAACTATTAAATACTAACTTTGTCAGTATAAATTAAATAATTAAATGTATACGAGTGGAACCAAAAACTAACTTTAAATATGTGACCTACATTATCGATAAGACCCAGTTTTTTGTAACTATCCATTTATTCATAAAATACTAAATATAGGAAGGATGGGATTTTCATAAGTAAAAAAAAACTATTGAAACAAGTTTCTGTCGACAATAAATAATAAAATTCCGGTATTAAAATTAAAACTGATTTAAACGAGTCGAAAAACATACTTATAAATCATTTATGTATACTACCATTAACAAATTTGAGTTAAACATTACAGTGAATAAAATAAGTAGCTCCATGTATATGCAAAATACTACAGTTTCCCACAGAAAGCGAGACCAATATATTTAACAACAGAAAAATAATATGCATACGTGACGTTATAATATTTACATATACGTTCAAGTTTAATCGTATCAATCGGTATTAAATTTAATTTTTTTTTAAATCAAGTTTTTTATACTAATTTCTCATCAATTTATACCATCGGTAAAGTAAATGTCACCAAATTGGTATTTTTAATCCCTCACGTTGTGTAATTCTGTTTTTTAGCCATTTTTATTGATAATTGTATAAAATGAAAGAAAAAAGAAAATAAAGTTACGGAAAAAATTATTTTCATGGATCAATATCGTTCACGAGTAAAACGCATTAATAACAACTTCTCCACTTTCATACATTTAAAATGTGCTATTTTCTAAAAAAAAAAAAAAAACATTTTATATCTTCCTTTGATGTATTAAAAATGTATTGAAATTGGTGTGCATTATTTATTGTAATCCATCATTTTAATCTACAAGGAAAATATAATTTAAAGCCCGCTCGGAAGGCCGTTACATTTTCCGATAATAGGCTCTTCATTTTAGCGTGAATCTTTTAATAATAAAGCCAGCTCATTAAAATAAAAAATGCCATATCAGTTTTTTGAACAATGACCTAGCCGTAATTTTTTGGCGGAGTTTTATTAATATATACCAATAACAACATTATCGCGTATTGATTTCTTAGGCTTCAAAAATTAGCTGCTCATTTTTCCAACTCTAAGCTAAGCTTAATATATTTAATTTATTGGCTTAGGGAGCGCTTGAGTACACGTGAAATTTTATTTTCCCTTCCATTACCTATCTTTACATGTCTGAAAAAGGTACAATGTCGAATATAATATGTTGATTAACATTTACCATATTTTGTTTACTTACTGTGTATGTCTGCATATTCATGATGTAATTATTAATGTGCTATCTAGTATAACGGAAAGAAACACTAAAAGCTTAAGCTTTAAAACTGACTTTTAAAATCTTGTTAACTATTTTATAAAAGTTTTGTAACAATTTTTAACGAGAGGTTCACATATTGATGTAAATATCGATATAAAATTATAAAACCATTGCACGGCTTAATAAAACAAATCTAATATTTTGCACTCTTTTAATATTTATTCATTATAACAGTATGTGTAACTGGACTAATTAAATTGAACGTTAATTATAATATTTTTTTGTACTATATATCTTGATCCGCCATTTTTCGTTGACTCGTGTACATTGTAATATATATCAATGTATTGTCTGCACACGTCTACGTAATATATGAATTTTTTGTTGAATTTATTTTTTCCTATTTACTTTGTCATATTTAAATAAAGGGAAAATTTTAAT